TCAACAATAGAAAGAGTAATTCTTGAGGAAGGTTTAGGTATATAATTTATTATGCTTTTATGTAAATTAGCTGAAATACGGCGACAAATGTTGAAGAGGTCGCAAAAAATCTCGCCAAATGAGAACTTTCCACGCGAACGCCGCGTAAACTAGCAAAGATACAGTTAAGTAATGTACTAGAGAATTCAAAATCTATAAAAATGCTACAAAAAAGTCCGCGATAGCATATCTCTATCTCTTACGGTTGACTTACAATAACCACTTTTATGTTAACATTTTTAATTAAAAACATTACGTTATTTTCAAAGTTATTTTCTTTAGTTCGGTATTAATCCTTATCCAAATGAATATTTTAGTTAGCTTAGTCATTTAATGCAGATTAAAATTGCTCTTTACACTAAATCAATCAGATGAATAGTTTTTGAGATATCGTTGTTAGAAGTAATTAGTAGCGAAACATTTTTAATGCTTGGCGAGCATTGAGATGCCTACGGCGAGTCCATCCCCTCTGCCCCGCATCGCTCGACCGCCTGCTCAAGCTATATAAACCGGGCGATGTAGCGCGCGATCCTAGGATACTTTTTTACCGCGGGAAAATATCTTATTTCTGAGGAAAAAATACAAAAACTGCAATGTAAGAGTATACTAATATGTAACACCTAAGAATTTAGTTTTTGGTCATCTGAACGCGGGCGGAGCCGCGGGCAATGCTAGTACTTATTATAAAAATAAGTCCCCCGGCCGCGTCTTTCTGTCCTCCTGTCTGTCTGTACGCGATAAACTCGAAAACTACTGAACGGATTTTTATACGGTTTTCAACAATAGAAAGAGTAATTCTTGAGGAAGGTTTAGGTATATAATTTATTATGCTTTTATGTAAATTAGCTGAAATACGGCGACAAATGTTGAAGAGGTCGCAAAAAATCTCGCCAAATGGGAACTTTCCACGCGAACGCCGCGTAAACTAGCAAAGATACAGTTAAGTAATGTACTAGAGAATTCAAAATCTATAAAAATGCTACAAAAAAGTCCGCGATAGCATATCTCTATCTCTTACGGTTGACTTACAATAACCACTTTTATGTTAACATTTTTAATTAAAAACATTACGTTATTTTCAAAGTTATTTTCTTTAGTTCGGTATTAATCCTTATCCAAATGAATATTTTAGTTAGCTTAGTCATTTAATGCAGATTAAAATTGCTCTTTACACTAAATCAATCAGATGAATAGTTTTTGAGATATCGTTGTTAGAAGTAATTAGTAGCGAAACATTTTTAATGCTTGGCGAGCATTGAGATGCCTACGGCGAGTCCATCCCCTCTGCCCCGCATCGCTCGACCGCCTGCTCAAGCTATATAAACCGGGCGATGTAGCGCGCGATCCTAGGATACTTTTTACCGCGGGAAAATATCTTATTTCTGAGGAAAAATACAAAAACTGCAATGTAAGAGTATACTAATATGTAACACCTAAGAATTTAGTTTTTGGTCATCTGAACGCGGGCGGAGCCGCGGGCAATGCTAGTTTCAAATAATTTATAGGAGATAATATTACAACTTGATTTAGACTGCGTCTTGGCCCGCGTGAAAAGTGGCGTCCGACGGCCGCTGCGTCAGCTAACACATGTTCAAAACTAAAGTGTTGTTAAAAATGGACTATCCTCAAACTTTCACATTTATTATAGGGGGATAAAAGATTAGGACATTGAATATTATTTATTACATACTATAAATGAAAAAATGATTAAAATCCATTCGCTTCAAAGAATCGAAATAATACACTCGCCGCTCAATTTTTACACAAGTTAGTTGATTTTTATAGAGTTAATATAAAATATAAAAAATATACAATGTACATAAAAAAAAATATGTTTCGGACTGCATAATACTAGGTTTCTTCGTCAACTTATTCGCATCTTTTTAGTTCGCTTTTTACGCAGTCGGGTTTTATATTTTTGTAAATCATTTTTTTATTTACAGCTCTTTAGTTTTGGTCTAACAATTTCTTATCCTAAATTGTTTTTAAACACATAATTTGTGTATATTTTTGTAATCGCCTTTTAAAGACATTTATTTTCATACCCGACTCGATTTATTCGGACTTCGAAATTTCATTTTAATTCGACTTCGGAAACCGCAATTTTGATTTTTAATGATATCTATAAACTCTATGACACTCGCGTTATCAAGACGAATCTAACGACGTATGAACCATCAAAATCGGTTAAGCCGTTTCTTCTTTATTCAGGCCTGAGGCTTCTTCTTTCCGAACTGGTAGTAGACTCATGACGTTCAGTAAAAAATTGTAATAATTTAATGCTGAATAAAATATTTTGATTTGAAAATTTGAATTTGTTAGCATAATTTACTTTAATTACACATTTAGTAGATGTACATGACGAAATCTGATGCTATTGAGAATATTTAAAAATCTAAAAAAGTACCTACATATATAACTGATTTAAATTAAATAGAAACTGAAACTACATTATCGTAATACATTTTTCGCTTGATTTTTATATAAGTAGCTTTCTCTTCTATATATTAGATAATTTTCCACTTCACCATACAATCAACTTTGAAGAAACGGTTTGAAAGTTTAGATAGATTTTATGGCGAACACTTTGTTCTTCTCTTTTCATCGCTAAATGTTTGCGTAAGGAGGGCGAGTGGCGATTTACAAGCGCTATTTTCATCAGACCGGGACAAATGTCTCTCAAAGAACTAAAATTAAAATAAAAAATGAATACCGACACGACTGGGAAGAGTGGGACTGATCAGCATCTTAGCATGTTCTCTAACATCACCTAGTTTTAACGAAGTTTTTAATATAAGTACATATTTAATATATTTATATTACTCATAAACAATTATAAATTATAAATAGTACCGAATGTTCGTAGTATCCTTAGTTTACCATAGTAGAGACCCATGATATACCTACATAAGTACATATTATGTATGTAATCAAATTTTAACTCTTTGCGAGCTGAATTATACTTACGTACAGCGCCATCTGTTATTGCGCAAATTCTTTATGACATCTTCGGAAATCAAATAATCACTCGAAAACGCCTAAAAGAATGTCTATTGAACTTTATTGTATTATCTCAAATGATTCAATACTATAACTAGAGAAAATACCTTATCCCATACAAGGAAATTGGATGGCCATATTTTGGGCTATTTTTAATTGCTTAAATAAATAATAGACGCTATCTATTATATACCTAAAAACTGTTGAACTATTCAATTCATAAAAATTGTAAAATTAAATCGTTTTTAAACGTCGTAGGCAATTAATAAAATGTGAACAGCGCCATCTATGAGTAATCAGTAGAAACTCAATATTAAATAGCAGATTTTTCTATCATCAGTAAAGTTTCGAAAATATTATAAAAGAATGCAATAATTAATTTTGCTTTATTAAGAATATTTTTTCTTGTTTGACCATTTATCCGATTATTATGAAATTTTTCTGAGTAGTTCTTCATACGCCTGGGAAAGTTCCTACACCCATAAAAATATCTTTGTATGTTTATTCTAACCTAACTAACCTAAACCATTTATTCCTTTATATATGTAGCAATATACTCTATGAGTAGTAGCTTATATCCATACTGGTAGTAAAGTAAATGTCATAATATTACTAAACAAGAATTAAATGTAGGTAGCTATATATTTAATTATCCAATATATATAAATATACTAAATTCTAATCCAGCTGCAATGCTAATGTAAATCTACATACGTCTCGACACGGATTTGAACATAATGTAACTATCGAAAATCACAATTTTCTATTTGCATGTCATCATGTAGGTAGTTAGATAATAAATTACATACATAATTTAAGAAAAATAAATAAAATACAACGCTGCTCCCGCCCTTTTTCCACTCAAGATGACAACGTCAGAAAACTCAAATAAGTATTTTATATCAGATTGACAACATAAAGAATAAAATAACGAATCTACAATAATACATATAAAGCCTATTTTATATAATTAATAATTTATATTATTTTTAGTATAACAATTTTTACTAGATCTACAACTTTTGAAGAGAACATTTTTTGATAGAACGTCACAGTAAGCCGGAAATTGGAAAAAACTATGTATCCAAGAATTTTAGAAATTTTAGAATTTAAATGTTTATTTTGCAAACTAGTTGAATATTCAAAAAACGATTAACTGCAATAGCAATACACTGTAAGGCAAAATAATGTATGTAATATTTGCTGGAGAGTTACAACTTATTTTTTATTCCAGCACTTGATGTACTTCGTGGGATAATATTGCAAAAAGCTAAGGATGGTAACAAATGAAAAAAAAATATGTATATAAATATTTTAATTATTCCTTCACCTTTACATACTCTGGAATGAATAACAATAATATAAAAATATAACATATCACAATTACCATTATCTCTTAAACCTAAACAACTAACCAGGTCTTATATTTGATCATGAATTTAAAAATTAATAATTATTATGAAAAAAAATATATTCCATTGCTCCGTCCATTCTGTCTGCACTTTTCTATTTCTTTATATTTATTGTTTGGATTTTATTCTTCAATAGTTTACCGATTTTAAAAAAAACTTTTGATATAATAAAAACATTGCACTAAAATCTATATATCTGAAGCCATAACAAAATTATATTTTAAACTCTACATAAGTAGTGTTTAAAATATAAAATACCCTACACAGGTAAGATATAAGTAATAAATCTTAAGCAATTCCTGGCCACAAGAATATAATATAAAGATACAACATACATAGAATCCCAAAAACATCATAAAGGAAAAATCCCAACTAAGCCTACACCACGGAGAAATTACTGTAATAAATATATATTTTTTTTATTAAAAACAATCTGCAAGATCATGTTTACATTTCATTTTTTTTATTAATAAACATAAAACGTTCATAATTACAAAATTGTAATTGTGACTTCAAAATGTTTATTTTTATATCCAAAATATTAATTTATAATTTAGCTCCGCTCTTGAGCAAAGGTCCTAATTTCTGAGCGAGCATGATGTTGCCAGATATCTTTATTTTCCCCTTCAAATATGCTACTTGAGGGCTGAGAGTGCCGGCTGCTATCTCTATGAGGTCATCATCTGATACCGTCATTGTAGTGTCGGCTTTTCCCGTTTTCGGCTCTCCTTGGTACACAGTCAATCCTGACTTCAAATCTAAAGCTGTTGGAAATTAAATAAAAAGGTTAATATAATGTTTCTGTATTATTTATTGTGCAAAATCTTCTAACATATAAAAGTAAACTGTAAATATAAAAGGCAATAATGTAAATTAATATACATATAAAAAATGAGATTTTTTTCTGTAGTATTCATAAGCCAGTTAAAATTGCCAAGGAAAATTTTAAAACCATTTATTTTATGTAACAGTCTCTCGAGTTGTTCAACATATAATATATATACTATCCACATGAGGACAAAAATATTCTTTTATTTAACAGCTTTTAAGCACTGACAAAAAACTGAAGTGTGGTGTTACCTTATTATTTACCTCACATGTTAAAATTATAAAACTATATTTATTGCTTCATGGTCTTATATGATCTATTAAGAAACCTTATTCAACCTATATCAAATATAAAAACAAGGCCCAAAGACAGGTTATGTTATTTGTATATTTTAAGTTCACTTACTCCATTGTTTGATTGTTTTTCCATTCTCAGTAATGTTATATAAATACACGGCCCCAACACTCTTGGCTTTGTCCGGATTTGCTTTGATGCCTTCTTCAATTTTCGCGAACAACGAGTCACTCTTTAATGTGGCCGATGATTGCCCAGACTTGGAAGGAGCGGATGGGACGCCATCTTTGACTACATTCTTTAAGTCGACATAGGCTCCTGTTAAGTAAAAATTTTAGCTTGCAATATTAATATCATAGTTATTTTGTATTAAAAAATAGTAAATCATCGAGGCAAAAATAAAGGAAGCGTTTACAGAAAAGATTAAAAGTGAAAAAGTGATATTAAGCACACAGGATATGACCAGTAACAGCTAATTTTAAGTAACAAGGAACGCACCCGAACGGAGTGAAGGTAAGTCACTAGTGTAAAATAATGTCTCAACGTATCATACATAATATATATTGTACAATGTGCTTATTGTACAGGTATTGTAATATGTGGTAGCCAAGTGGAACGTGTTCTCATGGAAATCGAGTAAAGCGAGTTCAACTCCCAAGTCTGGCACCTCTAATAATTTCATGTGCGAGTCATTTCCAACAGGATTACCACTTTATGGTGAAGGAAAACATCGTGAAAGAACTTAACAAGTTTTCGAAAGACATATGGACTATAGACTGTTCCGTTCTTATTGAATAGAGGTTCAAGCCTATATGTTTGTATAATGTATTAACATACATACGTACATACATCTATACTAATATTATAAAGAGGTAAAGTTTGTGAGTTTGTGACGTTGTAGGGGGTAATCTCTGGATCTACTGAACCGATTTAGATGAAATTTGGTAAGAAGATAGTTGAGACCATGGGAAGGACATAGCATACTTTCTATCCCGGAAATCATCCCTTAAGAGGGTGAAAATGGGGATGAAAGTTTGTATGGGGAATCAAGCTAGGGACGAAGCCTCGCTTCGCTCGGGTGAGTCTCTACTCGCTAGTACAATATATAGGAAGTGTGTGTGTTATACCTGCGATGACAACATTGCCGGTCTCCTTGAGGCGCGTCTGGAAGTGCACGCGCGCGCCCTCCGCCCACATCTCGGTGCACAGCGTGTGTCCCGGCAGCACCGGCTTCGCGAATCTCGCCTTTATTGCCTTCACGTTAGAGGGCTCATTGCCTCCGTATCTGAGGGAGACGAATTATTATTTAAATTTTGATTGTCGCTTGTTTTAAATAGGCTTCGATAGTCGTAAATATAATTAAATTCTTCGCTTTGCGGAGTTAAGACGTAGCATAGAATGTAGAAGAAGCGATTGAGATTGACCAGTTAAAAGACATTCTACACTGAGATTTGATTGCATGTAATATATTACAGTTTAATTACATATTGATCTAAAAGAATTAAAAGTGGCAATATGGCATAAAATAATAAAAGGCATATAAACAATTCTAAATGAATCCAATTTTAATATTTATATACTATTACTTCACTTTCTTTTAAACCAGCTCCTATAACATATTCTTAGTAGAAACATAAAAAAACACTTATGATGTGAACACTTACTTAGAGAGTACATGTCTTACAGAGAAGCCCAGAGACGCGAGGCCGTGTAGGATCGGTTTGGGGTGACCACTCACTGTGGCCACGTTGGGGTCAATGTGGAGTGGATTCAGGTCTCCTGACAATCTACGAATAAAATAAAATCATTTCATTTAATATACGTAATTTGTATGAATATTCCAATATAACAATCACCGCCATAGCTTAGCGCGGTACATCTGACTGGCGGTTATTTAATGTTCCAAGATCACCAGTTGGTAGAGCATCATTCAATCAGCGTAACATTTATTAGACTAATTTGACACTGAAACCATGCAATGATGATGCTCATACGATCCTTTCGGGATGGTCGGTGCTCCCATACATATCTACATATGTATGCATATTTAAGAATCATTTTAAAAAAATAAAATAATCCCGAAATAAAAAACTTTCAAATCTTTCGCTATCGCCTTAACACAATGAAAGGATCTCGGGAAATTGGACGAACCGCGTCCACTGCAAGTTCTATATACTGGGATGTCATTAGATTTATAGAATTAAAAAAGTCTCAGCTTATTGTTAGTTGTCAAAAATCATCAAAATCATCCCTACGCAATTAACGAATGGACCCCTTTTGCTGGAGGAACTCCCTATTTTACCAACAGTAAGTACAGTTAACCCCGCTGTACCTGTAGAGGGCGGCCTGGTCCTCCGCCGTGCGCTGCTCCACGACGGCGTCGGGCGCGCGCGCGGGCGCGGCCTGCACGCCCACCGCCGCCGAGCTGTTGCGGGGGCCTTTGAAGCCCCCCTGCCCGAGCACGAAGATGTGCTGCTGCGTGCGCACTATCACCTCTCTGTTCTGGTATATTTCACCTAAAAACAAATTATATAATTCATGCTGATATCTATACATACAGGTTGGTCCAGGAAGTGACGTCACATTTTTTTTAGATTCCTCACATCTGGGTGTATCCGAAAATACCCCATATATGTTCCGCGATTTTTCGTAGTTTAGAAGTTATGATTTTTTAATGTGTATTTAACCTCGCCAGTTTTATTATTATTATGCCATGTGGTACCAAGTTACTGTTATTGTTAACCCTAAAGCCGTCTCTTAAGTGTCATATAAAAACAAGTATGACAGTAGAATGCACTTCGGCCGGGTCCCCCGCTAGACCAGCAAGACTACCTTGTCTAGACGCCTTCGTAAGACGGCTATGTAGACTGAGCTAACATTACATGTGGAAGTATATCTGACTGTTACCTTTTTACGCATAGACCGATGATCCAATATTGATAAAATTTGGCAACAAAGCAGGAATTGCTAATTCGATTTAAAAAATACTACTTGCATTAGATAGCCCGTCTATTGAGGAAGGCTATAGGATATATATCATCACGCTACTATCTAAGGGAGCGGAGTAGTAATCGTAAATGTCAACAAATCAGGCAGACTTCCATACATTATTGTAAAACTATATTTAATATATTATATAAACTTAAATTTAAAGCCAAAGAGATTTTTTTTCCTATGATTTACTCCATGACAAGCAACCTTAATTCAAAATTTCTTTCAGAGTCGATGATAGCAGCTCATTGTGAACAATTAAAACAAATTCATAAAAAAAATCGCGTTAATATAATATAGGTGATTACCGAGTCCACATGATATTATCGACAATGCCACTATCTCCCCTAGTAATATAAATTTTCAATTGAATTAGAATTTTTATTGTTTCAACATTTTTATCTACTTGTTTTTACGATAGAGTTATCTATATAAAGCTATGACGTCTTTAAAAATACTGAAAGAATGAAAAAATATAAATCTATCAATAAACACGAATTATGTAATAGCAAACAATATCATTTAACGCAATATCTTTAATTCTTTTTATTATTGCGATAAACAAATTGTCTTTTCAACAGTTATAATAATATTTTTTATTTTATTTATTATTAGGGAAACATACAGCGTTACAACACGGACAACAAAATTGACAATAATAATAATAAACATACCAATAAAATTTCCACAAACAAACAATTCATCTAGTAAAAGAGCAGAGATTTAACAAAACAACAAAACTTGATAATATAAAAAAAATTATCATACTTTTACAGACTAATAAGAAAATTCATAAATCACACTACTTTTATTGTAAATTTACTCCATCATGCTAAAACGGCTAAAAAGATTTTGATTAAATTACACACAGATCGATTATTACCTGGATACAGGCTACTGTATATAATATTATAAAAATATTATCAAAAGGCAGAGTTTGTTTGTTTGAACGCGCTAATCTCAGGAACTACTAATCCAATTTGAAAAAATCTTTTTGCATTAGATAGCCTGTTTGTTGAAGAAGGCTATAGGCTTATATATCATCCCGGAAAAAAGTACAGTTCCGTGGGATAGATTATTTTTGTCTAGGGACGAACCCGAAGCAAAGCGAGGATGAGTCTCTAGAAATATTATAAGTACTAAAAGCAACTGAGAATGGCAAAATAAGATTAACCAGCTAGTTCATACTTTATGGAATATATCCTGGGTAAGGAGAAATTATTAATAATTTACTTACTATTGACAATAGCAACAGCGCTCGAGCCCTTGTCGAGCACATCCACTACATAATTGCGTACTTTGAACTCTCCCTCGGTTCCGGGAAATTCCTTCAGGAACTCTATATATTGCTCTCCGTGAAGAATCTAGAATAAACATATCACGCTTTATTGACTTTACTAGTAATCGAATCTTAAAAATTGAATTTAACGAAATCTGAACATGATGTCAATGCAATCATTTGATACCATCGATCTGATCTGATAACGAAGTTAGGGAAATGAAACTCTTCAACGTCTACTACTAAAATAAAAAACGTATCGAATTCGACCAAACTTGATGGAGTTTGTTCTCATTTGGTGCGTTTTTACAGTCATGGGAATGTATGAACATAAAGTTTACAAACAAAACAGCATACAAACACAAATTTTAAATGTATGTTCCTGATTCAAAATACATAAGAATATGTTATTTTCAACTTGATACCACCCACTTTACAGTGAAGGGAACTCTCTGCCTACCCCGCAACGGATATAGCGTGAAGTTATATGTTCGAATGTGTGTGTGCGAGTGTGAGTGTGTATGTGTGTGTGCGAGTGCGTGTGTGTGTTCGCGTTTGTGTGTGTTCGTGTGCTTTCGGGTGCGTGTGTGCGTGTGTGTGCTTGTGCGTGCGTGCATGTTTTATAGACAAATATGGCATACATTAGTGAAGTCAGCGAACTTGCCGGGCGGCATGGACTGCGCCACGATGGGCGACTCCAACATCATGCCGGCCAGGATGAAGAACGTGGGCAGGGCAGTGAAGCTCTCGTGGCTCTCGTACAGGAACTTCAGATCCGACTCGTTCACCACTGACGCTCCGACTGGAAACATTATATTTGTTATAGATAATACTTTCTTAGATTTAAGTTATTTTGATTTTTGTTTACGGAAGTTTAAACTAAGGATTTTGAGTATCTCCCATAGAAAAAGGTTTAGTTAATATGTTGCAGATTTAAGAATAATTGCTACATAGACAATACCGTTGGAAGAACATTATATGTATGCAAGAACAGTTTTGATTTGATCAAAAATAAAAAATGTTAATTTTACAGCTCTTTGAGAGAATTTTTGTTTTCTTTTACTAAAATCTGTATTTTTTAAAACAAAATATTATAATTTCGGCAAAATAAAAGAAAAAAAATTACATTTACTTAAAAATTATGATATATTTATAACCATAAACGATTAACAAAATAATCTCATTTTCAATAGGTTCTTCTGGTCTTTATTGATTGTTCAAATACAAGTGAAGATAATAATATAAAATAATAATAATAATTAGCATTTAAAAACTTACTTCCAAGTGCATAGCAGACTAGATCTTTAGAGTTATATTTATACGAGCCCCAGTATGAAGGATGTTCCCTGTCTAACTTGCTGCGCTCTTCGAAATCCTAATGGAAACAATATTTAAATTTAATTTGTATTATTAATAATAAATAAATGTAATAGACATAAATAAATGCAAAATACAACAACATGAAAGAAAGACTTAGTTTTTGTAAGGTTCAGTTTATTAATACTTCAACTATCTTTAAAAACAAAAAAAAGACAGTATGAAAATTCACGTAGATAGTATTACATAAGATTTTTGTAAGTATTATACTTATTATTACATATTATTTTAAATATTATATTTCGATAAAGAAAAAAATTATTTATACGAATACAAAATCAATTATGATAAATATTGTTAACTGAAGAAAAAAGGAGGAGGATCTCAATTCGATAATTCATAACTTATTACAGTGTACTCCGATTTCGATGATTCTTTTTTTATTCGATAGTGTATACCTCAAAGTTGGCCCCCCCAAAGTGTAATAGGGGATGATTGATTTTCCATCAACTGAATTTTTAAAATACATTCAACTTACTTTGCTACTACTATGACTACAATAAAAATCGAAAAATAAAAACTTTTTAAAAATTATAGTAAATTCATCAATTTAAGGTAATTTAATCTTAGTATTATCAAATTCTTTTTACCTATTGTATGGAGTAACTGAAAATTTAAATAACACTTATATAAAATAACGAAAATAAATTATTTCCTTAACAATACAAATTGTTTAGGTTTTCCTTAATTATGATGCAGTAAACAGGAAAATTGTTGGGAACGCCATAATATGATAAGATAAGAATTTAATTCCTTACATAACCTTACGACCTTGATATGTACCAGAGTTTTTTTTTGTTCGATGTAGAAAAAATATTTGGTATTGTAATATTTGATAGTAATTAATTGATAGCAATATATAATCTACTTTTACTGTTATTTGCTTGTGGTTTTTTTATAAACTAATAAGTTATATCAGAGATGGTCATTGGTTACATTTAAGCAATGCGAAAAAAAAAAGGATTTCATCCAAGATTTTTAGTCCATAGCGGTCCATAAATTACTGGACATTGGGGCATGGGACTAAATGATCAGAATATATAAATATAATAATAAATCAGTTCACTATTAGCGAAGATATTACCTTTTCATTCTGAAGTCGGTCAAAAATATACTATATTAGACATAGTCTAGGGTAGAGTCATGGACGAATTAGAGACTGGACCTGACATAAAATACAAATGTATGAAAACTAGTTCAACCAAGTGACGTATAACGCACACAAGGATTTTATTACATGATTATAAACACTGATACACAATACAATATTTCTAGTGCTTGAACGTAATCGATAAAATAGATATATCGATGAACCAATGAATGACATTTTAGACATTGGTTAGCATAGTCATCATATTTTACATCTTTTAATTTTAAATATCTGTATTTATTATAATAAATTAAAATAAATGAATTAAAGAGGCAATAATAATGTGTCAAATAATAATTATTTTTTAATTTGATTTATATAAATACGATGGCATTGATGGCTACATTCTGTTGGCCTATAATAATGTTAATAAACGAATGAATATCGGGTGTATATTCCATTAATATATAATAAATATTATTTTGTAAAGATTAAAAAAATATTAAGCTAATTTAATAAAATAAAGTGATTTTGTTGATTCTGTTATTGAACTATTTTAATTGGCAATTGATTGTCTTGGGTAGTTATAAAAATGTGACACTGTCCTAATATTGCTCAGTTATTATAAACATTTGTGAAATTAGGAAAAGAAAAAGTGATTGGAAATTGTAAAAAAGTGAGTGTTGGATCGTGAAAGTAAAATAATTAGTGCAAGTGGTAAAGTGTTTTATTACAAATCGCCAACCCAGAAGTTTAGTGCTTAAACATTATTGTTTGATTTTGTGTAATTAATGTGTTGAAATAAAATGATCTTTATTATTATTATAATGGAATAATATTCCAAAGTATATAATGTGGTATAAAATAAAAAATTAAGTACACATACTAATTATAATTTTTGCATTTATATTTTTATTTGATTTAGAAAATATTTTTATAAATTTATTGTCATCAGATTGTAGGATACTGTGATAAAAGTATTTTATGTTATTGTACTGTACAAATAACACAATTCGTTCAGTTATTTCGTCAAATATCGATATATTTTTCGACATTGTCAAGCACTAGTCGATGTCAAATGGACTCACTCGACAGTTTTGTCATTTGTTCTGAATGGTATAATCCAGCCCGTTTATGATGGTTGTCAGATGTCAACTATACATAGAAATATCGACTATATTTAACATAGTTGGATAATATGACATTTTATTTTACATTTAATTATATTTTGTGATAAATAACAATAAATGTAATAAAATAATGTATTTAAAAGTGAAAAGAAATAGTGCTGCTTCCGCCGTTATTGTTTTTACACCATTTAACAGAACATTTAGTCATTTTTGGGAGATGTTTTGTTGACAAGTAAGTGCTTGAGACTGACACAAAAAACAAACGACTTAGGCTAAAATTCCCTGGTTACTGACATGACCGTTAAAGGTACGTCCGCTTATATGTCTGGTCCAGTGGTTAATTCGTTCATGGGTAGAGTATTAAAAGTTAAATAAGTGTCATATTTACTTGTAGCTTTTGAACCAAGTCGATAGTGACTTCGGTGATTTTATCGACATGTTTAGCGTTGTTCATATTCACAGCATCCTGCCAATGTTGCTTGACTGACTCTATTGTCACTGGGTCTGATGGCTTATTTCTGTTAAAAAATTTTTTTTATTCAAACTTCTATTATAAATATAAATTCCAATTTTCATCCCCTTAAGGGATGACTTCGGGGATAAAAAGTATCCTATGTCCTTCCTAGGTTCTAAAACTATCTTCTTACCGAATTTCATCTAAATCGGTTCAGTAGCTCCAGAGATTACCCCCTACAACGTCACAAACTCACAAACTTTACCTCTTTATAATATTAGTATAGAAGTTTGTGTGTACTTTTTTACGCTACAAGGATGGATTTTGAAAGAAACTTAATACATAGATAGACCTAGACTTAAGTGACACAAAAGCATCTTAAATTTTCTATAGTAACAAAATTAGCCAGAAAGTAACGCTATTTGTATAAAATACTAGCAGAATCCGCGGCTACGAATGCATTCAATCTACAAAAAAACTCTTTGGCTGTATGTTATACAGTACTTATACATATAATATTATCCACACAAAAATGCTAATATCGCGATTAAAAAATGGGAGTGTGGGGTAGGAGGGTGAAAAATACTTCACGAACTATCCTCATACCTACCAAATATACAAAAAAAATCATTAAAATCGGTCGAGCCGTTTCGGAGGAGTGCCACCATAAACACCGTGACACGAGATATTTATATATTAGAAGATTGTAAATACAAACGATACCTCGGGATGCACTTGAGTGAAGCAAGCGTAAGTCGCTAGTAATATCAAGTATATTTAAAAATTAAATTTAAAAAAAACCAACATATAATTTGCCATTTTGTGGTGGCGGCCATCTTGGATTTTAAATTTATCATAGTGTATAGTATTCTACCAGTCATTGGTCCCTTTCATTTGATATCTATATTGAGGGAGTTGTGAAAAAATATGTAATCCGCCATTTTGTGGCGGAGGCCATCTTGGACCGATTTTCATCAAACATACTTAACTAAGAACACTCTCGACTAATTCACCTTTCAAACAAAAAAAAGAAAATCAAAATCGGTTCATCCGTTCGGGAGCTTCGATGTCACAGAGAGACACACACAGACAGACACGTCAAACTTATAAAACCCCGTCGTTTTTGGGTCTGGGGTTAAAAAAAGGAAGGAACATGCTACTTTTCATCGCAGCAAAGAAAAAAGATTCGTTTTAATTAATTTTAACTGGGCTTTCAGTGGCATAAGCCATGTATTTTCAGCATCAAAGTACTGGAAAGAACCCGCGTACAAATTCTAATATAAGTAACATATTATTACAAAAATAATTTTATAAATAAATTATTTCTGTAGACAACAGATATCCTCATATCATAAATGGTTGTAATACTATTATTTTAACGGGTTCGCAAATACCTAATTTAGACGATTGAAAATATGCAAAATACTTACATGTAACTAAAATACTCACTCATTTACATACATACATACTTTCACATGTATTATAATATTATATCTAATCTATACATATAATAAAATTCTAACTGAGTCAAATCTGTACATTAAATATTTTTTGGAAAATCTTATTGAAACAGACATTATTATCGATACAGAGGCCGAATCTATAGTTTTTAGAATTTATGTCTGTCTATCTGTCTGTCTGTTACCGCATCACAGAAAAACCACTGGACGGATTTTGATGAAATTTGGTATGGTGATAGCTGGTTATCCGGGTCAACATATAGGATACTTTTTACCGCGGGAAAGTATCTTATTTCTGAGAAAAAATAGTAAGACTGCAGTGTAAGAGTATACTAATATGTAAACCTAAGAACTTGGTTTTTGGTTATCTGAACGCGGGCGGAGCCGCGGGCAATGCTAGTCTAATATATAAAATTCTCATGTAACAGTGTTTGTAACAAAACTATTCCGAAACGGCTTGACCGATTTTTATGAAATTTTGTTCAGTAGTTCTGAGAATAGGACGTAAACAATTTTTCATACCCCAAGTAATAAGGGTGATCCAACCCAAAAAAAAAAATTTTTTTTTACAAGAAAATTTTTTTTTAATGATTCAGCATTAAAAAATATATACAATCCTAAATGTTCACTAGGGACGAACCCGTGCGGGGTAAGGGAGAGTCGCTAGTTAGTAAATATAATAATGTGGTCAATATTACATATTGTTAAAAAGTATATTTTTCTTTTCAAAACTTACCTTAAAGGAGCGCCAGTAGACCTCACGAGTTGTGCCTTCGACGCGAAGCCGAGGGTAGAGTCGATGATCTCGCCGCTCGCTTCGAAAGACTCGTGAGCCATGTACGCCTTATCGATAGAAAATATATAGTAATAAGACAATAACTTTTGATATGAAAAAAATAATATTAATTATATTAAAAATAAAGAAAAATCATGATTTTTATTTAATTATTCCTTTTAATAATGAATTCTAGACCCATAAACTACCGCTATACAAAACATCACATCATTTTATTACTACAGTCCAAGACCCTATTCATACGTATGCTTTTATTCATTTCAATTTCCATATTAAAGTTAACTTCGTCTAGTCGCACAAATTTTAGTATAAAAAGACTTTGACCTATGCATTACCAATTCAAGATAATTAACATAAAATATATTTAAGTAATAAAGAGAGCTGATGTTGCACGTAAAGAGATCTCACGTTCATAATAGTGTTAGCAATAGATTTACTCAATTACTATGTTAATATGGAAACGATGCTATTGACCTGCAATGACTATACTTGGTCCAACCGGGACTCGAACCCGGCACCTCTACACCTATAGCAGAACACGTTAGCTATTAGTCTTTGAGATTGTTCTTCTAACTATTATTTTATAACTAAAAGCGTATATATTGCAAAGTCATCCATGTATAAAATAGTTTTTTTGCTTCGTGACCATACTGTGTGAAGCCATTTCTCAGAAAAACAATGTAAGGTATTACTATGTATATATATTTTAAAATGAAACATTAAAATATCATAAAGTATATATTAATATTAATTCCAATTTTATTTAAAATATATGTAATATCAGAGTGCGATAGTCGCACACTATTGAATATTAAAGTATAATTTAAAAGACGGTTACCTATTTGTAAAGATTAAACGCGTGTTTATCATTTTAAAAATTAAAAGAACTCTTTGATAATATTAGATTTACATTGTTATCTTTCATAACAGCCGCTTTAAGAACACTAAAATACACCAAGACTAATAAAATATCAACTTGACACTTTCAACCAAACAAACAAGTAATAATAATAATAATAATAATAACCCCCCCAAGGGATCACCTTGCCGCGGTGGGGGGGCTTAAAGGAAGGCTAGTACGGGTAAATGGTCAATTATAACTGGACCATACAATATCTACAAATAGACCCCAGTAGTAATGGGTGACACAGAAATACCAATAACATCTAGGTAACTCTTCTTAACTAACGATCCCAAAACCCAAAAAACATTTTTCTCATGAACGAACAAATACGAAGATATAATTTACGGTCGCTACCCGGGGGGCGTCGGGGTACACTTGGAGCCAACGCTGAGTGTAGCAGCATGCGAGCCGTTGGTGACGGAGAGTTGAACAGGCGGGCCTCCGTTGGGCAAAAGCCCGAAGATACGACAGCCGACATTATCATTACAAATGCGTCATCACCAACATCATCAATCAATAGTGTGTTATCAATCAATTCACATATTGTACATCAGGAGAACTTAACACAGGATACAAATAAAAGAATGAAATGGACAAAAAGCATGAACGAGACCATTATAAAACAATATTACATTATAACGGAGTTAGAAATTAATAAAACAGGCTACAGGCAATCATTGCATCAGGCAGTAATAGGAAAACACCCAGAGTTGAACCAAGTATCTGAACAGCGAATTTCAGACCAACTTAGAGTAATCATGCGGAATAAAATGATTAGTGAGGACAAATTACAAGAAATACGGGAAGAGGCTAGTAGAGAACTATTTAAACTTAATAAACTAGCAAACAATAATAATAATAATGCTCTCAACAATAGTGAAAGTCATTTACAACCCTCAGGAATTGCTGGACACGATGATGTACAAATCAATAAGAAACAAATCAACAATAGAGAAATAATATTTCAATCAAATACGCAAAATACTGATAGCAGTGGCACCATAAACCTAGATAACATTGAAGAAGAGTTTAACAGAATATTCATACTTTTTAGAAACACAGACCCTACATCTAGACCATACATCCCAAAACAAAAAACTTCAAGAAAACTGACGTCCATTGTAAATTATATAAATAGTAAAGTCTTGCCTAAATATTTAAATACGGACACAGAATATGAAACACTACAAACACTAATATATACAGCAGCTTACACATCAGCATTACTTAATGGGACAAAATTTAGGATTGATGTATCTGTAAAAAAATGTAGTAAGCCTTTTTGGCAAGTTCGGTTAGAAAACAAGATCAAACAACTAAGAGCAGATATAGGCCGATTAACACAATTTATTGCTGGAAACCAAAGTCCAAAAATTCTTAAAAAAATTCAATCTATAAAAGATAGGCATAGTAAACATTCTCAATATGAACAATTAAATACAGAACCAAACCAAATTTTAGATACTCTAAAGCAGAAATTAAATGTCGCTTCATGTAGGTTAAAGAGATATCTCACTTGTACCGCAAGAAAACAACAAAATATTAAATTTATTAATAGCGAAAAAAGCTTTTACAGAAATCTCTCACAAAATATACAAGAGGCTCCAAACCTTACACCACAAACACCACAGGCACATGATTTTCATGCATATTGGGCAAATATTTGGGAAAATCCTATCCGACACAACCCTAATGCAAACTGGCTTAAGGATATTCAAAATGACAGAAATGTAAACGAAATGTTATTTACTGAAATATCAATGAATACATTATTGAAAGTCCTTAATCGTGCTCACAATTGGAAGGCTCCTGGTACAGACAACATTCATAACTACTGGTACAAAAAATTAACATATATACACCCATATCTACATACTTACATTAATAAATTTATTCTCTTATCAAACACAATGCCTAAATATATTACTCAAGGAAAAACATACATGATAGCAAAAAATAGTGAAACTCAAAATCCAGAAAATTACCGACCCATAACATGCTTACAAACTATTTACAAAATAATCACATCATGTATCAGCGAAATCATTTATAGCCACCTCATTGATAATAATCTACTCACTGAACAACAAAAGGGGTGTAGGAAGAACAGCCAGGGATGCAAAGAGCAACTCACCTTGGATGCTATAGTTATGAATAGTGCTCGCAAAAATAAACAAAATATTCATACAATGTTTATTGACTATCGCAAAGCTTTCGATTCAATTCCTCACAGTTGGTTACTCAGAACTCTTCATTTGTATAAAATTAATCCTAAAATTATAAACTTTCTTAATATTACCATGCAAAACTGGCAAACTATTTTAAAAATTAACCATTTGTCTGAGATAATATCTACTGAACCGATTCGCATTCAACGTGGGATTTTTCAAGGTGACTCTTTAAGCCCCTTATGGTTCTGTATTGCTCTTAACCCTCTATCAGAATTGTTAAATAAAAGTAACATTGGATACAGACTCAATCGTGCGCAGATCGATAGTACTATTTCACATTTAATGTATTTAGACGACATTAAACTGTATGCTTCTAATAGAAAGGGATTATTTAAGTTAGCGGACATCACACAGGAGTTCTCTACGGATATCCGTATGCAGTTTGGCATAGACAAATGCAAAATTCTTTCAGTCAATAAAGGTGTAATAGATAAGAACGCATATGTACTCGAAACTGGTGAAACGATTGAACCAATGGATGAATTGAGCACTTATAAATATTTAGGGTTTCATCAATCTAAACAAATTAAGGTAAAGCAAACAAAGCTAGATTTAATTAATAAATTTAGGTACCGTGTAAATCTCATTTTAAAAAGCCACTTAAATTCAAAAAATACTACTAAAGCTATTAACACCTTTGCCATTCCCATACTCACGTATTCTTTTGGTATAATACACTGGTCACAAACAGATTTACAAAAACTACAGCGAATCATACACACACTACTTACTAAATTCAGAAAACATCACCCAAAATCATGCATTCAAAGGATCACATTACCGCGTAACGAAGGAGGGAGAGGATTTATAGACATACGTAATCTTCATAATAAATTAATAACTACTTTTAAAAACTATTTTTATTCTAAGTCAGAACATTCAGCAATCCACAAACATGCAATAGAAACAGATAAAAAACTTACACCACTCAATTTACACGAAAAACAAACGCAGATCAATGAAAAAATTACAGACGTGACTCAAAAAATAGCGTCATGGGCCGGAAAATCCTTACACGGGAGACACCGATCTCACCTGTGCCAGCAATATGTCGATAAAGATAGGTCGAACGAATGGCTTAGGAGGGGCGAATTGTTTCCAGAGACCGAAGGCTACATGCTCGCGATACAGGATGAAGTGATTGCCACTCGTAACTACACAAAATATATATTAAAAGATTCCAAACAGATAAACGATTTATGTAGACATTGTAATAGTGCCCCCGAAACAATCCAACACATAACCGGAGCTTGTAGAAGTATTGTACAAACTGATTACAAGCATAGACACGATCAATTAGCGTCAATAATTCACCAACACCTTGCATATGATTACAAATTTATAAAAAATAAACAGCCATATTATAAATATAAACCCGATTGCGTTTTAGAAACCAGTGACTATAAGCTTTACTGGGATAGGACTATATTAACAGATAAGACAGTACATAATAATAGACCAGACATTACCTTTTATGACAAGAAAAATAAAACAATATTTCTAATAGATATAGCCATTCCTAACACACACAATATTCAGGCCACTGTGTCTGAGAAACTGTCGAAATATTAAGACCTTGCTATAGAAATTAAGACACAATGGCAAGCCCAAACTGTGCATATTTTACCAATTGTATTGTCATCCACTGGTGTAGTACCTAAATCATTAGTAAACAGTCTAAAAATAATAAATATTCCAGTATATATAATTTACACTTTACAAAAAGCCGCTATACTAAACACCTGTCGAATTACACGAAAATTTCTAGCATCCTCAACCATTTCTAGTACTTCCAGTCACACTAATTTTTAATTCTATCATACTTGGTTAAGGCCCGTGTGATAGAGTAATACCTTCTTTTGAAAGGAAGAAGAGAAGATAAATTTCTTTTAAAAATAATAATAATAATAAATATGTTGGGGCATTACCACACAGCACCATCTAGTTCCATGGTAAGCTAAGAGGATTGTGTTATGGATACCAGATAGTTGATACACTACACATATATAACTTTAAATACATACATATTATAAATATAAACACCCATGACTGGAGTACAAACATTCGTGCTCATCACACAAATTAATGCCTCCAGCGGGATTCGAACCCGCGACCGCTGGCACAGCAAGTAGGGTCACTACAAACTGAGCCAAACGTGTCGTCAACTTTTTTGTATTTAATTACTATTAAGTCTAAGTCGGATAAGTCGTCATAATATTATTATTATAATTAACATAAATCTTGCATCTAATAAACAAGTGCTAGACTTAGAACAATGGAAACCGATTGTGACGTAATCTTATTAGTTTTACAAATGTGAAGCTTCATCAACATGTTGTGGATGTTTGTCAATTAATTACGCGCAAACCGTTAAACGGATTTGGATAAAACTTGGCATAGGCAAGGATCACTCAATTTACTCGTATATAAAACAAAAATAATAACAACATTCATCTTCCTACTAGAATAATAATGATATTATTGTAGGACCGATTTATCTTTCTTATATGACAGATTTCGGCTTTAGTGGCCAATCTACCCATACTAATCTCATAAAGTTTGTGATTGCAGTTTATATATGAACGCGCTAATCTCAAGAACTACTAATCCGATTTAGAAGATTCTTCTTGCATTAGATAGCCCGTTTATTGAGGAAGGCTATAGACTATATCATCATCCTAATACCCAAGGGAGTAGAGCAGCAATCATAAACGTCAACAAATCAGGCAGACTTCCATACACTATTGCAAAGGGAAGAAAAAGAAAAGTTTGTTCTTTTTAAAACGCCGGCGAAACCGGTTCTGTTAATCTTACATATTACGCCAGACAAATGTATTTCAATTTATAAATTTAAACCAATACCGATTGTGAAATAAATAGAAATGTTCTTGAATTAATTACTTTCAAAGGTTACAACATTCTTCGACTTAACTCACGTATATTATTATACCAGTACCTTACTTTCGCAAAATGTTTATATTTAAAAATTATAAAGCCCTAAATAATCCCTCTTATATAACTTGTAATATGAAAATCCGTACAAGAGTTACTGAAATTAGCCATAATAACTCAGCCCGGTGACTTTATTTAGAGCAGCTTTTTAGATGACTTTATTCTATAACATGTTCATTGTACATACATATATTAATATAATACTCAATTAGACTTAGCGAATATTTGACATTTTAAATAAAATTATCTTCTCGAATTTATTTAGATTTTTGGTTCCGGACGTTTCGAATGCTTTACAGCAAACATGATCACAAGAGTCTTTCCCGTATAGATAAATAATTTAAATATATTATTACATTACGGCGAAGGCAAACATCGTGAGGAAACCTGCATAATTGAGAGAACCTATTAAGTTTTCGAAATACATGTGAAGTCCGCCTATCCGCACTTGGCCACCGTGGTGGCCATGGCCTGATCGCCGTCGTATTGAAGAGGGCCGTGCCCAGTAGTGGGACGTTAAAAAGGACTAAATACAAAAATTATAATAATTTCATTGAACTTACAACGACTGGAGCAATCAGTTCAGGCTTCATAGCCTCGAACATGTCCGGGGGCAGGATGTCCTCGGTGAGGCGCGACGCTGCCGTCGGCACTATGGTGTTCACTTTGATGTTATATTTCGCTCCTTCTATTGCTAATGTATTCGCTAGACCTATTAGACCCATTTTTGCAGAACTAAAAAGAATAGACAAAAATAATAATTATACTAATTGAAAATAAAAAATATATTACTAGATATAGAAAATAGATATAAAAGATATACTATTTTTATAGTTATAACTAGCATTGCCCGTTAGAAATTAGATTTTCCAAAAAATATTTAATGCACAGATTCGACTTAGTTACAATTTTATTTATGTATAGAAAATATATTATACTCGTTTATTAGAAACCTCGATGGGCCATCCAGGAAGAGGTGTAGTCTTTAATCGATTCCCATCCATTTTTAACCCCCGACGCAAAGTTTTTTTCAGGTATAATTTTAGAAGCTTAGTTATAATTTAAAAAGCTCAATGTAAAAAATAACCTATAAAATTGACCTATTTTTTTCAATAATATTAACAAAACCGGTTCTTATTTTGTAACATTTAGTTTGTTTTTTTTTTTTAATATTGACCATTAAGAAATTTCTTATACAACTACATATATATTTACCTGTAGTTAGCTTGACCAAAGTTGCCAAGGAGGCCGGCATTACTTGAAGTCATTATGATACGACCATATTTTTGTTTTTTGAATGTTTCCCATGCGGCTTGAGTAGTCTTAAATGCGCCTTTTAGATGAACGGCCTGGACCAAATCCCAATCCTAGTTGAAAATACAAAAATATTAATAAAAGCCATGTTTTTGAAGGAAGGATAATATTAGCTATGTTTTTTAAAGATTCGATCCTGCGACGTCCCATTATGACGGGGGAAGGTTTTGTTGGGTTTTAGTGGGTAGTACTGGCTTTTCGAGCCGGTGAGTCCTACATAACCCTGTATGTCTTGGTAAAACCTGTATGCCTACAGGTGGAATGCGTAAATGCATTTCCCAACATTAAAAAAAAAATTAAAAAAAATGTTTTCTAAGGACAACTCGACAGAACCAGTTATTGTGTTTTCCCATAGAAATAAAATATTTTCCTGTACCAAATATTGACTCGAGTAATAAGTTACCACTACACAAAATTTTGTCAACGTTTAGTTAAATTCAGCACTTTTCTCATAAAATGCACGCTATTATGGGGTCTATAATTAATCTATATTCTGTACAGGCAGATTTTGCTTAGTTCATATTTTAATATACATACATATGTACATTATACATAGATAAGATTTGTATAGGTAATATTAAATATACTTTAAAATTACTTTTAGGGGACAATAATTTTGAGATTATTTTAGCAAATTAATATTTGCCTGAGTTTATTTTGTACAATAATGTAAACAGTGATATCATATCATTGTATGATTATGGATTATGATAAAATGAGATATTAAAAGATATAACTTAAAGGTGAAAAGCTGTACTGCTTTATTAGAACATATATACATATATTCATTTCAAGAGTTTAAATAATAGGTATAGATACTGTAACTTAGTATGTTACTTAGAGCATTATGATAATTGGTTTAGCTTAAACATTAATTACATATTTAACTTCATGTCATATGTCAAATACTTTACGTAACGATTGGATATACAAAATATATTGAAAATGTATTAAAAGTCGAGCAATGAAAAAAGTACAGTATATATTGCTACATACAATTAGTATTTTCTCTCAAGTTTCTCGCTTTGAAGATACAAAGCTCTCTATTAAATTTAAAATTATTAACATACATGAAGCAGTTAAATATATTACCTGGTCGGCCATCTTCTGGAAACTTCTATCACGGAGAATACCTGCATTGTTGATAAGTATGTCAACACGCCCAAAGTTATCGAGAGCTGTCTTAATTATTTTCTCGCCCTCTACTACTGAGTTATAGTCAGCGACTGCCTCTCCGCCTATACATATAATATTAATTTGTTAATATGTAATATCCTTTGCTTTTCGTAATTATTCGTCGTTGAAAATAGGTTTAATAGGTTGTCGTCGACAAGTGAAGTCTATCTGTAAACTACTGAACGAATTTCGATGCGGTTTGTGTTGTTATAATCTGCAATTCTGTAGTATGATTTTGGTGTATTATGGATATTATTAGTGTATTATGGATCTCTAAATGGTTGTAAACAAATGCATGTCTGAGAGAACATAGTAAGTATTCAAAAGACATGTGAAGTCCGTCAACCGCACTTGGCCAGGGTGGTGGACTATGGCCTGAGCCCTATTTTTTTTTCAACTTAAATGTACATATATGTGTAAGTGAGGAAGGATGATATTTACAAAAAAAAAACAGTGTTATGGGAAACCCTACTTAAAAGCAGAATAACATTGAAGAATAATGTTCTTTATTAATAATTTTTTCCTTGATGTTATTTTTCCTACTGATATGCAAACTTAAAGTTTTTCATGTTTTTGAGGAGTATTTATGTACAAACATATTTTAGTAATAATTTATATTTTAATAAAATTACATTGTATATACCATTTTCTATTAATTCATGAATCCTTATCACCATAACTTATTATTTAACAAGATGAGCAATCAACTACATAGTATGTATATACGTAAAACTGTCAAACTTATAATTAATAGCTGTTTATTAGACCGGTAAAGCATTATGCCAGTAACCCAAATAAATGCATATAGCTGTTACTATTTCCAGTAACATAGTTCTTTCATACAGATTTTTTAATAATTGCACAATATGCTGTTGTTTATTAAAATTAGTAAATATCAATGAATGCAAATATGAAATCATTACAAATATAATATGTATAAGTCAAATATATTTTATATAGGCATTTAAATGCAGAAGCATTGAAAAAATAATTAAATATTCAATAATGAAATACATTGTTTATAAGGGTCAATTGTATTTATATGGTAACATATTATGTATGTATATTTTGACTAACTAAATTTGCATTCACAAAATAAAAATAAACTCATCTTTGCAATTTAAAAGACAAGATATAATAACAGCAAAAACCCCAAACATAGTATTTTTACAGTCATTAACATGAATATGAAACTTATATTAGAATTTAATATAGCTTATTCTTATTTTATATGCAAATACAGATTACAAAATGAACTAACTAACCTTTGTCCTTAATTTCCTTTACAACTGCGTCCGCAAAGTTTGATTTTCCAACACCATCTCTTGCTCCTCCAAGATCGTTTACCACCACTTTAGCACCTCTAGAGCCAAGGAGAAGAGCGTAAGCCTTGCCTAGGCCACCACCGGCTCCGGTTACCACCGCAACGCGACCGTCGTAACGCAGTTGATCCATTACACGCGACGTTCCGACACAAAGTGGCACAAATCACAATTCACATCGTTGAAAGTAATGACCGATCAAAGATCACTGAAGTTAGAAGTATCAAGTCACTGGGTGTTGGTATCGTAAAAATATCTTTACAGTGTATTGAACTTTACTCGTCGTCGTCAGTCGTCGAACAAAAGATACTGATAACATATTTATATATGTAGCAATATACTCTATGGATAACAATAATGTGAATAATAACATAATAATATGTTTTGAATAGTAGAGTAAGTATATGCTATCAATTTTACTTTTTCCGAACACACCAATTATTAGTGAAATAAAAGTTTTAAGGTATGTGTAATCTATACTATAATAATAATATAAATGTGAAAGTTTGTAAGTATGGATGTTTGTTACACTTTCACGCCCGAAAGGCTGAATTTGGATGAAATTTGGCACAGAGATAGATTATAGTCTTGAATAACACACAGGCTATTTTTATTCCGGAAAAATGTACGGTTCCCGTGGGATAGGTTTGTTTTTGTTTTCCTAGAGAGAGTGAAGAGAGGGTGAGCCGCTGCCCACTAGTGTATAATAGTTAATACCCAAACCCACAGAAGACAGAACACTTTTACTCGGGAGCACAGACCAGTATATTAATACATAATAAATAATAATAAGTTTAGCACTACCTAAATGTATACAAATAAGTAAAATTGAGTATTAAAGTTTCTGTTTGTAATGTCAAAATAACAGGTTTATACCCGACTGCGCGACGCAATGGAGGGCTATGTGTTTATCAGGCTATATTGTGTATATTTTGTACCTTTGTGGCACTATTTAGTAATTAGTATTTAAACCAAACGCGTGGTTTAATTTTAATAAATGACGCGTCGTTTGATTCGTCACGACGGCACGAAAGTGATAGAAAACATAAAAATTTGAAATAATTAAAATGACCGATTTTGGACGCCATGTGAAAAAGAAAAAAAAATGAAAATCGACGAACTATGTCAAGTGGGGTATCGTAAATAGGTATTTAAAAATCATTTTTAGGTTTTTTTCATGGTTTTTCATTTTAAATAATTGTTTAGAATATATAATGATTTAAAGTTGTTTAACAACCATTCTCGTTAATTTTCCTACTTAAAAATACTTAAAAAGATGTAAATAAGTTTAGTTAGCTTGCATAAAAGCTCGAGTCGATTTTTTTAATTTTATAATATATTTATCTTTACTTAATGGTTATTTAGGAGTAGAGAATGTAGAAGAATTTTGCCTTTTTCTCTCGCCAGATGCTGCTATCACTATCATCTATGGCCCTCAGTATATTTTAAAGCAGCGTGAATTCATTTTATTTAAAATTTAACTAAAATGATAAATTATGCAATGCCAGGATGCAAAGAAAACGAATATCATTTGTTCCCAAAAGACAAAAACTGAAGAAATTGTGGGTTAAAGCCATATGACGACCAAAATTGGTGAAATTACTAACTTTATATTTAAGACTGTGGATTTCATTTTACAGAAAGTGATTTTAAAACTCTTAAATCGTCTACAGGTGAATATTTTTTTCATTTTTTGTACTTTTACAAATCAATTATAGTTTCAACAAACTTTCATCTCCCATTTTACCCTCTTAAGGGATTGAATTTCGAAAAATGTTAAAACTTGTATTTATTTAATTGTATTAAAGATCATTAATACCAAGTTTCAAGTATTTCGGATCATAAATAATTCTTTGTCTATATGAACTTTATGACCCACTAACCAACTTTTACCCCTTTTAGGAATTAATTTCGAAAAATCCATTCTCACCGGATGCCTACATCATGTAAGGAGTACGTCCTCCAAATTTCACGTCTCTACGTTGCGATCAGCGGCTTAGGCTGTGTGTTGATCAGTCAGTCAGGACCACCGCAGATGCACCTCTTCTTCTCAATCTTTCAATACAATACATTGCACGTGTAAGATGCGAACACAATAGAAGCAAAAAACAGGTATAAAAGAGATATCACAATAAATTGCTTAACCTCTGAGTTCAGACTGAATGTTCAGGCCATACGTGTGGCGCCCTCCTGTCGAGAAATCTTACCCATATATATTACAATTTATTATCTATGAATTCGTAGGCCGTAGCTCTGCCTAATCTGTGGCATTCGCCCCTACGTCAAATTTTTAACGGCACTATGTTTTGAAAATCGGAATATAATTCCTAAAAATATTAAAAGTAGGTATTAAAAAGTAGAAGACCATAAAAATACGTCCATAATAATTGTATGGCCACATAAAGGATAATTATAATTAGCAATCAAATCAATCAATCAAACGTTATACAAATATGACTTCTCAGTACGTTTATAACGATCCCCTCGCTGGTAAATAAATTTTTCATTACTTTTTTCTAATTATTTTTTTATGTAAAAAATAAAATAAAGAAAACGTACATAGCATTTCATTTTTAAATAACACATTGTTTTCTGATTTTAGTTATATATAATGAAAATCAATGGCGAGTATATAAAGTCTCTCCAATGCATAGCTTACAGTACAATGCAATAAAATTAAAACAATATGCTTCCAAAGTACGTCAAGCATTTGTTAGCACGATTACTACAAATACTGTATTAAATTTTAAAGTTCTTTTTGAGGAATTGCCCTTACTAAAATACTCTGAAGATGATTCAAACGGTCTAATGGTAAATATTTTTTTTAAGTATTGCAGCTATATATTACATCCTAAATAAATATTAATAGAAGCAATTGCTTTTATTTTCAGATAACAGTTACTTCAAATTCACAGGAAAAGACTAATGATAATAGTAAAACAGTATATTCTGCTATCCTTTTATCATGGGGTGTAAGTACAACTTTGGATAATGCAATCCATCTTCCATACATGTTAGAGAAAGGAGAACAAAAAGTTAGTACTGTAGTGAAGAGTACTTTACAAACAATATTTGACTGTAATATAAAGCAGTATAATTTCACACAGGTAATTGATGTTATATTATGAAATAAAAAAAACATTATTATGTTTACATAAAATATATGGAACTAACATTTTATTCAATTATTTAATTGAATATTAAAATTAAATATTGTAAATGGTTTTAAGAGTATGATAGCTATTGAATTCTAATTGAATTATTTGAATGTCTAGTGATTTAATGTATAGATATAAAATAATGTTATATGTATATTAAAATTTGTGCTTCTTCTTGTTTTACAATAGAGTAGTTGATATATTTTTTGCAAATATACAACAATTTTATTTTTTCAGCATCAATTATTACAGTTTAGTTTTAACTTTGTAAAAAATGATAATTCAAAAAGTACAGAACCATTTATTTTAAGTTATAAAACACCAGGTGTGAATCACAAGAACAAGTTGACTTTATCTTTAGAAGTTGGAGACATACATACCATTTTGAATGGGTGAGAATTTTATTTATTAATTAGTTTTAAAATCATAAATACCTTATTATCTCTATATTTTTTTAACTTTATAAATAACATCACTTGGTCTAAAATAATTGGATATTAAGATTTGAGAGTAAAGAATAATTAAACTCAAGCTGAGCTTACCGTGTAGTTAAACATAGTTTTCTTAAACCCCATTGCAGTTTTTGTTATCCCATTTCAGTTGTAAATAAATACCCTTTTTCACAGTGTTGCTCTTGAATACTAAGCATCAATATTTTAGATCAATATCAAATTGAATATGTATATACATTATACATTTGTTTTAGGATAAAAGAAGATACGAGTCATGATTCTGAATCAATTACTTTAGCATATCAATTCCTACAGAATCAAATATATAATATGTTCACCCTAGACATCACTATATTTGATCTGTGCGAGGTTCGGTTACCAAAAGCTGGAGTAAAGAACAATGGAGTTGTAAAGATGAAGACACCTGAAATTGTTAATTCAGTTTTCACTGTATTAAACAATATAACAAGCAGTTTACATGTAGATTTAAAATAATATAATAAATACACATTAGATTATGAGTACCTGATAATATTAAAGTGTTAGGGTTGGTTAATTTAATGGGGCATATAGAAAAATAATATAAGAAAAAATCATTTAATAAAATAAATTTCTGCCCCACTAAGAAATAATGCGAATTCAACTCTTTAAATACTTTTAATAAATGATTTGAATAATTTTTCAATTTTATTGTAAATATTATATAATAAATGTTTAAATATTTGAAAGTGGTATTTTTACTAATTAAAAAAAATAAAACAAAATCATTTTTCAACATTTACTTCATGAATTATGCCTTACAAATGTGTTTGCATATTGTAATCTTATAAAATATTACTACATCATTACAATGTGCTAAACTTAAAGTAATCTAATTTTGTTATGATGTCTTCCATTAATTTCCAAGCAGTCCGTCTAGATCACAATTTCGTCCTTTGAGAATATTTATAACTAGCGATGACAGTTTAAAATTTTTATGATCAGTTAAGAATCAATTTTCTAGAAGTTTGTTTTTGTTAATGGATTTATTTTATTTCAATAAGAAATTGATCATTGAATATCGAAATATTTAATATTGTCATCTCTACTTACATGAAATATTAAAGTATATTCCCCCGAAATTATATCTTGTGCAAAATTCTCTAGGCCTCTACCATTTCTTATATAAGTATTATTAAGACAGTCAATAAATATTTTCATTATAAGAAATTCTCTGGCAAAAGTGTCAAGATCAAAGTCGTACAACGTAAGATAATAAAATATAAAAATAAAATAAACATCTTTTTATAACAAAGTAAACAATTTCGTTAGTCACATATTAAAGTCTCAAACTATGTCAGATAATTATTAGTTAAATAGTGACTTAAAAATGCTTTTAAAATTCATATAAATGATTACATATGAGGCAGCATTTGAATCTGTGAGTGTTTGTATGCGATATAAAACATTATTTTGTTCATTTTTCAGTAATCATTCCCCCTTAGTTTAGGCTTCACATATTAATAATTAAAAGCTTTTGATAAATAAAATCAAGCTCCTATAGGAAGATTAAATGCTTGATTAATTTACAGTGGAAAATACAAGAGTGCAAAAAATTGTGTACATGAAATACTTTACATAAAATACAGAATGGATGATGAATACATACATTAAATGGTACACAAATGATTGCACGCCTGGTCCAATCTTACATTTACTCAATGTCGGGTTCTGCTTATTAAATGTCACTTATGTCTATTATTCATGATATTGGCTAAAGAATTGTGTTACTGCCACTACATACATAAATGAACATCGAGACAAATAATTTTAATACATTTATAATTAACCATACATAATAAATTTTCAAGTATTATTTTTTAAATAAACAATTTTAAAAATTCCAATAAAGTTGAATTGTACATACATACATAGTTTCTATGATGGTAGGTATTCTATAGTATACCTGGAATTACACTTACGATTAATTTATTTCATTAAATATTATGGTATAGGCATAAGAGCCAACTCGCTATTATTAAAAGTTGAGATGCGACATATTCTGTAGCATTAAAATAAAACTATGTAATCCTGCATGCAGTACGTTTCATACCAAAGTTTGTTGCACACAGCTGTACCCCTTCTGTAAAGATAAAATCTTATTAAATAAGGTAACTAAAAGAAAAGAGGAGGTTCTCAATTCAGGTGTTATTTTTGTGTATGTAATATGGTAACTTTGTTTATTGGGGATTTATTTTAGAGTTCCATACCACAAGCACAAAAATGGAAATGAGGCTTTATCGATACCCTTCCTTTAATTTGTTTTTGAAGAATATTATTACCAATATCCTTCCTTTGGTATTAGTTTACTTTTTTTTATTATTGAAGTTATATTTCTTTGGGCATGTTTGGAAAAAAATATTAAAGTAAAATTTTTACGACACGCGCGCACACCGACAGCCAAAAAGCGACATGATAAAGTTAGCTGCATTTCTTTTACAAACAGAGAATTGTGACAAGTTGTGATGTCAATTGTGAAATCTTTAGCTATTTTTGATCTGTTAAAGTAACTTTTTATGTGCGTACATAAGTACACACACACGGTTTTTTTACATAATACTTCATAATTTAATAAAATTGCTAAATTTAATTACAAATAAAAAAAAATAGGGTTGGAATTCCATGTGTAACTGGAATGAAAATTCGAATATACAGGATCATAGTACATATGTTGAAGTTATTGAAATATGAGAAATTTATGGTTATATTTACTTTATTACATTAACTGCAACAAAATTAACTTATTATTTTATGAAAAAAAAACTTACTGCTGTGTTATTCAATTTTTTGTTCCCGACGTTTTACGAGTCAGTTATAGAAAGTGCACACCTTTAAAAATTGTATAATTTGGCACAAAAAAGATATAGAACTAGAGTAGTTTACACTTAACGTAGGCCTGCGCCAAATCTTATATCTTCTTAGATTTGTTAGACACCCAGGGACACACCTGAGCAGAGCGAAAGTAAGCCGCCAGTACAAAACATTTACATAATGCAACCTTACCGCACCCCAGACGCAAAGCCGGGCTGTCAGCGTGTGCAGTGCAGCACCTAACAGCAACCGCCAGGCGGGGCGCCCCCCGCGCCCGCGCCGCCCGCTCCGCCCGCGCCCGCGGTCGAGTGCTGCGGACCGATCTTGATGCCGTTCGCCTGGAAATTACATTGTTTTTTTTTATTTGCTTGGAATAGACTTATTTTTATTTGCCAAGAATTGAAATTACTGAAATAATTTTTTTTCTTAATTTCAGTAAGTTACTGACATACAGTATTTAGCGTCCAGCCATATAGAAATAAGCTTCATGAAAAAAAGATGTTGAGAAAAAATCTGCTGAACCAACATATATAGTGTGTTAGTAATCAGAAATTATGATAAGATGCATGTAAAATGCCAGATGTGTATAATGGCATAGTTTTTATTGTATTCAACTAAATTAAATATATTAATTGGTATCATTAACAAACAACTCGGTAGCATTGTCATTGTCGATTTATGATTATTATACTAAGGCACAAATATGTAAAAAGAATATTATCAAATCAGGTGGAATTTATATAGTGCATAAAATTATTATCCAGGTTGATATTAAATTGTTACTATTAAATCTAAACTAAACAAAATGTCCAATTTAATCCCAAAAATGTAAAACCTCGTTGTTGATGTCAAAGACTCCTTCCTGGATTTTTTCATAGATTTCCTTAGCAGTATTGATGAAGGCTTCTTCTACATTAGCTGCTGTTTTGGCAGAAGTTTCCATAAACACCAGACCATGTTCTCGTGCAAATGCCTCTCCTTCCTCTTTCTTTACTTCACGTCTAGACTCCAAGTCACTGCAAGGTTTATTTTTATCTTATATATATAATTCTTCTGTATGTGTGTTTGTTAACCTGCTCCTCCTAAAGGACTGGACCGATTTGAATGAAATTTTGTGTGTATATTTCAATGGGCTCCTGGATAGTTTAAAAATACAAATGGACCCAGTAGGTGGCGCTGCAGTCGGTGTGCCACTGATCATCTCCTAAACCGCAGGGACAATTTTAATGATATTTTTTGTGTATGTTCGAATGAGTCCCTTGCAAGTTTTGAAAATATAAATGGATCCTTTAGGCGGCGCTGCAGTCGGTGTGTCACTAAATTTTCATAAAAGACTTCATTTTTCGAGCAACAAATAAATTTAAATTGTTGATTAAATAAAATAAAAATCAATGTGTATATGTTTCCTATGGACTCCAAAACAGCTGGAGCGATTTTGATGAAATTTTCAGGTAATCTTCAGATTAGCCCAGCGGGTGATCCCATGAATTTTGTTAGCGATCGGAAGTTTGGCCTCAGGCGAATCCGTGGGTAGTGCTAGTATATTATATATATTAAAAAATCCTCTGAAATTACATTATAAAAAAAAGTTTACTAAGGCTCTTACCTCTTATTACCAATAAGCATTATGACCATGTTTGAGTTGGAATGTTGACGTGCATCTTCAAGCCATGTGGTCAAATGATTGAAGGTATCTCGTCGAGTGATATCATACACAAGAAGAGCTCCTGCTGCACCTCGATAATAAGATCGTGTAATTGACCTGAATAAAAATAGTCACATTAACATGAAAAAATTAAAAGAAGATTCTTCCTTCAATCTATTAAAACAAAATACTTATTTAAATTACTAGTGCATTAATTTGATCAATATTTCATAATTTTTTATAGTATAAATGCATATAACTGTATATGCAACAAACATGCCAATATTTTATTAGCTATATTATATTGAATTGAGATAAAAAAAGAAAAAAATTGTACACATACCTAAATGCTTCTTGTCCAGCAGTATCCCATATTTGTAGTTTGATCTGCTTGCCATCAATAGTAATCATACGGGCTCCAAATTCCACACCAATAGTAAGATCATGTACTGGCTGGAACCTTTTGTCTGTAAACTGCAGCAATAGGCATGACTTGCCAACACCTAAATAAGGTCAATGATTAATTATTTAAGTAAATATAAATGAGAATATTTTCTTTGGTTTGTGGTGGTTTAATTATTAATAAATTTATTGCTAAATGAATGAATTTTAACAAAAATACAAAGAAGGACCTTGACCAGAAATAAGTTTAGCAAAGTTATTGACATGCTATATTTTCTTTGTTTATTTATCTATATCTAAATGTAATATTGATAAGATGCAAAGAAGCAAATGAACACACATTTTGTGTTTCAGTAATAAAGTACAAAACAAAGTTTTTCGTATTGATGTACGCCGTAGCGTAGGCGGAAGACAAATCCAAGTCGATATTCAATACATTTCAACGTAAAAACAATCAACGAGGTTCAATCTTTAGTAAAGATTGCGTTTACATATTAATTAAAATCAAATTTATCTGAAGTACTATAGAAGGTACTAATTTATTGTAAGTAATAATACTAGTCAGTGAAACATAGTAAGTAATAAAATCAATACCTGTGTCGCCAATGATGATATATTTAAACAAGTAAGCGTACGCCATTTTTACAAATATTCTTTGGATAACAGTTGATTTTAATAACTATTAACACTAGACAGAGTTATTATCAGACAACTTCTAATAAATAAGACGCAATTTTAACAATCCTACAGCTGGAGTGGGTTTCAGTGTGTCATTGTAAAAATTTGTAGAATTGACAGCTCATAGCAGGTATCATAGACTTAGAAACATTGTTTTTACAACTGTTCATTAGACCATTTTACTAATAAAATATTTGCTTTTTATTATATGGCTTAATTTGATATATTTAAATAGAATGAAGAAAAAAGAACTCATTACATGTTTTTTTAATATTGCATGATGCTGTAATGAAATGCTGTAAAACTTTTTAGATGGAAACTCACAAAATTTTCCTGTCTTTTAATCCATAGACTATTTTAATATCTGTCAATTCGTCTGTTACCTAGAATTGGTTTGTTTTTACTCCGATATTTTCCTTTTTCATAATAAAGACGAAGTTTTAAATTTAATTCATAAATATATGAAATTATATATAATCTGAATATATCATACATTGATTTGTTCATATAATATAATTTTTTTACCTTGATTTAGGTATCGTATAATATTAGTAACCTTAAATTTGATGATGCCGACGATTGTTAATAAATAATATTTATAGCAAGCAATGGATTCTCATGAAGAATCTGCTTCGATGAGGAATCGTGATAAACATGATCGTGAAAGTGAAACGAGTAATAGCCGCAAGGGCATATCAAAACAACGAGGGCAAGGTGAATGCGATGAAAATGTGTTTACATCAATGTCACATGAAACAGATTTAAGTTTTTGCCCACATAATGGCTCTAAACCAAGAAATTCTAGTACTATATCAAATAATGATGTGGGGCAGTCATCCAATCGTCTTACGGGATGTAATTTAGAGCATAGAAATAATTCTGAACCCTGTAAGAAAATGAACAACACAACTAATAATCAACTTGATACAGTTAGTAATACTATGTCAGAGAGAATACCCTGTGATAATGGCTTAGATTCCGTTCAAGATATACAATCATGTCAAAAACACAAAGTTTGTTTGGAGACTGTTGGTTTTCCTCATGCTTACAACATAAATGCTCCCTCAACAAGTGGGGCCTCATCTAGTAAAACTTTTGATAATTTGGGTGAAGGAAGTGGCTTTAGAGAGAGCAGAAAAAGACCATCAACTTTAAAGCTAAACAAATCTAATTTAGACAGGGATGATAGTTCTAGTGATACAGGTAATGATGATTACTCATTAGGTTCAGAGGATGGCTGTATCTATACATACAGAGGAGGCGAACACTTGGCAGACTTGCCAAGTTCTTTCTTCAGCTTAGACATGGGATTACCTCTTGACAAACATTTACCAATACCTCCACCATATGCAGCTCAGCCAGCTGGTGCAAATGTAAGAGAACAGAATTCTCGTGCATCTAGCCCTGATATGGACTTTTTGGAAATGGATTTTGATCCTGGACCTTCGTGTGAAGTGGATACAGATGATGAGTCCACGTCTGACACAGATCTTGATGGTGCCAATATGCCAGAAGAGAATGAGCCTGTAATTAGAGGAACATCTCCAGAATATTTACCTCCCCCGGTCCAACAAATTCCAATAGCTGCTACATCTAGTATGGCTCAAGAAGACTCTTATCATAATGTGCCATCAACCAGTCGTGTGGAAGTAGTACAGGAGATGCCCGAAAATCCACAACACATTCAAGCATATGGACCATATATTACACATGATAATGTTCGTGGAGAACAATTACTAGTAAGAAGGACAATGACGCATTGGCACACAATTCATAATGTATCACATCATGTCTCTAGTGGTGATTTAATATCACCAAGAGAAATATTAAATTGTAAGTTATCTGTTGTATGTTTTTTGGATAACTCTGCTTATGTGCTTAACAGTATCAATATACTATTTTATTTACATATTTATACTGCTAAAAGTACTGTTAAAACTTTATTAAATGAAATGCATGCTTTTTATCTTTAAGTGTGCAATTTTAGATGATGAGGAACATACAGAAGCACCCTTTGCATACCAAATTAACCAAGGAGAAAGGCCTACTTTTGACTCATCAAACCTGTCTTCATCATTATACCATCTCACTATGGCGAAAAAGCTTATGACTGACAAAACTAAATTAGATATGGAAAATCATGATGCAGCAAGTGTGGTAAGTTTTATTAGCTAATATGGTGCTATATAGTTATAAATCTTATATGGTAATATTTTTCATACAAACATCAAAGCTTGTGAGTGAATGTTTGAGTAAATGTGTCCAAAGTCCAAATACTTATTACTTCATTATCAGTTTAATGAATTTAAGTGTGAAGTTGACATAGCTTATTCCTATATGATGAGGCAGCTTTCAGCGGTCAACAGCAGGGGACTGTGAACCATGAGCACTAAAGCCCTCATCAGAATCCTATTGCAACACTATAATTGAATATTGCAGAATTGTTACTGTTGCTTTTATTTATTGTTTTTATTCAAAAATGCTATTGGTGTTGACATATTGTGATGTTTAATATAACAATTTATCTATTTTCTAAGCAGCATTGGCTAATTAAATTATGGTCTGTTGGTACATCCAAGGACATAAAATAGGATTTCACCAAATGTAGGTATTTTCTGTGATAAATGTTTGTACAAAAATTTTATAGCAAATTAATTGATGATAGTCGGTAAATTAAACTAAACAAAATAAAATTTATTAGCTATTTCATATGGCATGAGTTCTACATATAACTATTATAATAATTCAGCTTTTAAGTCCATTGGTTTATTTTGGGCGTTCAGGGCGTTCTCAGTCAGCATCAGCCCGTTAGTTATTTTTTTACATTTTAGTGTGGAAGTCGGTTTTTTTTAAGTTTTTATTTTTTTCATTATGATATAGGATCATAATCATAAAATTTAGATTACAAAGTAAAAGGTATTTTGAGTTTCGTAACGAATTTTGGAAGTTGGGTAGGAATTCGTAGATAATTTTAAATTCATGGGACTGTCAATTATAAAATAAAATCCATATTTTTTTATCAAATAAACAAGTACGTAATGACGATAAATAGTCTAAAATAGTGTAATATACTATTTTATAAAACTAGATACGTTTTAAATTAAAATGGATATAATAGTATCTTTAAGAGAGAGACATATGCCATCGCGGACTTTTCTGTAGACCTATATAAGATACAGTATTCCACCATACATTATTTTGTTATATCTCAAAGGGTTTAGCAAATTAACATGATTTAACAAATTATATACTAAAACCTTACTCGCGAACCACTATCCATGGTGAAAACAGCATGAAAATCGGTGCAGTAGTATTTGAGTTTATCGCGAACAAACAGACAGACGCGGCGGAGGACATTGTTTTATAATATATAGTGATAGTGATTAAGCAGCTTTAATATAATAAATAGAATATCGTGAAATATATAAAATCAATATGTGTTGTAGATTCCTATTGCCAATAGGGAATATGCGTGTGATTACTATATATATATATATATATATATATATATATATATATATATATATATATATATATATATATATATAGCTAGTATACGGCTAGCATGTACTGGGTCAGGTGAAGTTTAGTTATTGAGTTTTTCTATCGAGGAATTCTCAGTAAAAGCTCGGAGTTGGAAAGTTGAAAGAGTCTCACACCCGTGCCTCGGAGAGAACTAATGCCGTCGGTCCTGCGCCTGATGTACCAGTCGTTTCAGATTGTCGTCCCATCGGAGTATGAAAGTGACCGGAATATAGAGTGCCCAGTGCACTTGTGTTTGCTCGTATACTTGTGTACTATAATATCTATTATCTCCCGCGCACATTGCTAGTCTCATAAGAATGGCTATAATGGCTGAAATCACTAGGGAGGACATTATATTAAATATCCTACTTATATAAATTAAGATCGAAGTTAGATAATAATATGAGATAGTTTTTAAGTACTCATTTTTGAGTTGAGGTTGTAATAGAGAACTCTGTTTTAAAGGTTTGAAAGTGGTGAAAAATAGGATTTTGCAACTATTGAAGAAGAGATAAAAGAGATAATTTTGATAAATTCGAAAATAAAATTGAAAACAAGCTTATTTACTGTATATTTAATTGTATTGTAATCATAATTTTTGTTTATTTAGCTAGGAGCCGACAAACCCGCAGGCACGTCGGAATCTAGTGTGAGCTGTGTCGAACCTCCTCGATGCATGGTGTGGTCTGAACGAGAGGCGTGTGAACGACAAGTCACACAAATTGGCACATCTGCCTGTGGGGCCACTGCCGTTGTCAATGTGTTTGTAAGTGACTTATATTTTTTGGAATACAAACAAAATAATATATAATTATTTGATACAAATTATTATTTGAATATTGACACTTTACTTTTTAAATCTCATTTATAGTAACAAAGACATCTAGACAGGACGATCACGCCACTCTAATTTTAACGCCTTTCACCTGACATTTTTTCATACACAGATGGATCACCTTATTTCTACACTCCTTCATATTTACTTTTAGGGTTGACAGGTATAAAGTCTACAGTCCACAACGGTTTTTATTTAATGATTAATAATAAGCTAAAAATAGTACGTAGAGTAGCTTTATTTTGGCGAGACGTCCAACTATTTTTTATACGAGAATTTGATAGTGTAGGTACAATTGTTACGGGAAATGTCAAAACGGTGAGAGTCTAAACTTTATTACTAACAGGTTGTTTTACGATTTAATCTTGAAATAATCCAACATTAAACCCGAAAAAAATGTTGTCTTACAAAACAGATGTTTTGATCAAATCGTCCCCCTCTCCAAATTTATTAAAATAACAACGACATAAAATTAATTAATAACCGACTCATTTTCGTATTATTTATTATTAAAAATATGCATAATTGAATGATCAAATCCGCCCGGATTTTGTCGCCTCCACGGTGATACTTTTTTTATTCACTCACGAAGTTATAGCTAGTTATTAATAATTTTCAATTGATCAAAAATTTAACAAGCCAGTAAATTCGTTTGAAATTTTGCTAGAAGTTGTTAGCATGACATACATTTCTTCCATTTTAATTTCTAGATAGCTCTTGGCGTACCTGTTAATATAGACAGAATTAATTCAGCCGTTGGAACAAGATTAAGGGCCAACAATGCACCATTGCCAAGGTAATTTTACTATAATGATTATTTTATACATTAAAATAATTGATTTTAATTTTTTATCAGGTTTTGGTATAAACATAGACCTAGAGAGTGGACTTAATGTTTCTTTGCCAGCCGTCAGCTAAAAATGATGGAAAGGCGCGACAGAGACAAAACGAATGTGCAGCTAGAACTCTTCTGTATTAATTGAAAAAGAATGAATGAAGATAGATTTTTATAACCATTTTACATTTCATTATAATATTATATTTTTTTACATTCCATTTATAAATTCGAAGTGGAATAAAAGAAAGGTATTGACCGCACGTTTGCTATTTCTCTTTCTAGAGAGTGGTCAATTTCATGACAGTATTGCTCAGTCCATTCTTTGGGTCTATGGTATATTGAAGAAGTAAGAATAGAAGAAGTTGATGATAGAAGTAGAAAGGAGTATATCGTTTCTGTTTAAGACATTGAATTCACTATCAAACTTCGTAAATAAATATTAGAGTTAGTTTTAAAGTAGACATTGTTATTTTATGTGGCACTAATTATCTAATATAATCGATTGTTTTGTTATTGGTAATGTTTTGCTAGCCTATTATGCTTAATGAAAGTACATCTATCCACAATTCGATGAATCATGTATAATCAATTATACGCTATAGTTCAAACTTCCCACTCGTTTTCTTTTTAAAACAAGACTTTTTAAACTAAATAACTCTAAATGAGTTAATTTTCAATAAAAGGCAATATATGTAGATATATGATTTTTTTTATCTATAAAGTAAAAATATTTTGAAAACCTATTTATGTTGTACCTTTTGGATAGTATATATCTTGATCTAATTTAATTTTACAATTTATTATTATTTTTAAAAACTAATATACATAGATGTAAGTATAATTATTTAAGGATTTTTAAACTATATAAAAGTATAAAATTTTAACGTTTTCCCGTGTATTTTTGTATTTTATATGAAAATAATTTATTTCCACATAGGTATCTATTATCGCGGGCCGTTGCGGGGTGTACGGCGGCGGACCTGGTGACGGGTATACAGAGAGCGTCAGATGGTCTCGTTACCGCGAGGTTCTTCCCCACGTACCCGGAGAGGGCCGTGTCATTGTCTCACTGGTTGGCCGATTGGATATCGCTTGGTGAGATCCTATGTCACTTTTTGCAACATAATATTATCCCATGGATCCAACTAATTGTGGTATAGGAATGAAAAGCCTAATCAGTAGTCGGTCTTTTGTCTCTCCCATAGATGGTCTCTATGTAAAAAATAACCCTTGTTTCGTGAAAGAAGAGACCAATATGTATCAAGATGCATGGTTAACAGTTTCAACAGCATTGAATTAAAGAAAATACAATTCTACTGTTAATCATTAAAAAGACTTTCACACAAAATTCTATGTACCTACTACTCTCAGGGGACTGTTATCTCGACATGATAAGCATTGTAAAGTTGTTGAATAGAAGACCTGCCCAATCGATTTTAAAGGGAATTTTCGGGTACTGGCTACTTTTTCTTAGAAATAACAAGGTTCTTGCAGTGTATGGAAACAATATAAAATTGAAACAAAAATGAAATTGTATTTTTGTTTTGGCACTGTAAGTACCAAATGAGAGCCAAAACAAGGGCCCAAATTCCATACTAATATATTAATATTATAAATGTGAGTGTTTTTTGTTTGTTTGTTTGCCCTTCTTTCACGTAGAAATAGAGTGACGGATTGGTGTGATTTTTTGTGTAGAGATAGTTGAAGATTTGGAGAGTGATATAGGCTACTTTTTACCGCAATAGATTATCTTATTCTCGCAGGAAAACACGTTATAATACGGGTTATATTATAACATGTTTTCCCACGACACACAACAACTCATATATACTATTCGTATATATGTATATACATCATATACAGTCTATCTATTCCATACTATAACTGTGAATAAAAAATATAAAAGTAGCTCTAATTTATTAATAGTGATTTATGGTATAATCATTACCTCATGCATACGTGATCCCTTTAACATTTTAATTGGATTTTAACTAATTGTAAAATATGTTTGTTCTAACTATGGGTAATTCCATAAAATATACATAATGTATGTAATTATAATATCACTGTAATATTTTAAGTAAGCCCTTATAAAGAGATGTTATAGAAATGTTATTTTATACTTTAAATTAAATTTATTTGCTTCTAAATACCTTTCAGGCGCGGTACCAATTCTTACGTTAAACTTGCAAATGGGTTGTGACGGTGAGATACCAGATGCATGGCATCATCAGATGGTGTTTGGAGTTTCTTCCCACGGGGTATACTTGACGAATCCAGTCGAATGTGTTCGAGAGTCGATGTTATGGCCTAAACTAATATCCCCCTCAGTATTATTGGTGAAAACGAGGGACGTCCTGGCTAGATTTACAGCAAATACAGATTTGACACCACTGATGGCTGTACCTGATAGACGGTTTCATACTTTTAATGTTCTTGGTAAGATTAATAAAATTTTAATATTATGACTGTTGCTAGATGTGCCAAATCATTCCTTTTTTTATTTTAGATCCTGTTTTGTGGAATTGTTTACATGGTTCGTGATTACACATTAAAATCATAAAGAAACTGAGTTTATAATTTTTACTTTTTTTTGCAGTTAGTGTTCAACTAGAAATTTTACCTGTTTATCTATCTAACTTTTTGCGTATCATAAAGATTTATATTTATATTCTTTATTTCTAATTTTATATGCAAAATTAGACAATTAGACTACTGTCTTAACGTTTCGCTTGGATGAGTCCTTAGCTATATAAAAAAAAAATGCCCTGGTCAGGCACTAAATGCATTACTCGGGTTGCCACCTTTAGACCTATTCATACAAAAGGAGGCACAAGCCTGTATGCACAGAGCTAAAATCCAAGGCAGAACTCATTGGCTCTCACGAAAAATGAGGACTCTACAGGACTCATTGCAAGAAATGCCGCTACTTGGTATGACGACTGATGCCATGTTAATTCGGCACTAATTTGCAAAGTATTATACAATTGAATTTCCGTCAAGGGAAGACTGGTCTAAAAGCCAGATAATCTATAAAAACGGATCTCTAATCTGGTTCACAGATGGCTCAAAAATAGAAGCAAAGGTTGGCTGTGGGATACATGGAGAGCGACCGAGGTTCAGCAAAAGCATACACCTCGGACAATTTGCCTCTATTTTCCAAGCAGAAGTCTATGCTATTCTAGAATGTGTAGAAGCTAATCTGTCTAAGCACTACACAAATCAAACTATCTATATATATTCAGATAGCCAAGCTGCACTACTAGCGCTGGACTCAAACACAGTCTCATCAAAGCTAGTGGAGCAGTGCATGGACCGACTAAACCTCTTAGCAAAAGCAACAAAGTAGTGCTAAGATGGCTACCGGGTCATGCAGGGGTAATTGGCAACGAATGTGCCGATAAGCTCGCTAGAGGGGGAGCTCTTGGCATGCAGCAGGGCACTGAGCCCTTCTGTGGAATACCTAAGAGCCTAGCTCAAAGAAGCCTAATGATAGCATGTCTCAAAACTGCGAACAAGGCTTGGACTGAATCAAAGGGAATGAGTCACTCCAAGGCACTAATTAGAGCCTACGACAAAAGGTTCAACAATCTTATGCTAGGGCTAAACAGAAAAACCTTACGAATACTGGTAAGGGCCTTTACTGGACACTGCTGCTTAAATAAGCACATGTTCAACCAGGGGCTGAGCGAAACGCGAACCTGCAGAATTTGTAGGGAGGCAGACGAAACGCCACTTCATCTTCTGTGGGAATGTGGACCGCTCATGCACAAACGCAGTATTCATCTAGGAAAACAATTTCCAAGCCTTGATGAAATAAAAGAGTGCAACCCTAAGAAAATCCTGCAGTTCTTAACATCAGCAGGGTTTAGTGGTTCACTCTAGTACAAATAGCGGCAATCACAATAGACCAGAAATGGTCGCAGTGATACCAAATAGCCGCAAAATAGAAATAAAAAAAATAGCTATATAAAAACAGTAACAGATAAACAAACGGCCAGTTTTTCCGACCCTAATTAAAGATATTATTATGATTTCATTAGCAGTAAAAACATTTTTACTTTAATAAAAAATGACCTTTACGTACTCCGCGGTAATATAGCTTCCTATTAATGAAAGAGTTTTCTGAGTCGATTCAGTATTTGCAGGGAACCTCCTACATCGAAACTTACAAAATTACAGCTTTTTATATTATTAGTGTAGATAATAGTATACAATAGCGTGTTAACTTCTGCTACTGCTCTCTCCAACCAGGACATAGCTATGTATCGTTCGCGATTGACGGAATCGAACGATCCGGGTCGCGAACACTTCGCGAACGATCGGGTCGCCATGTAAACCATGATTCGTTCTCATTCATTCGATCGAATTCATAATTGAAATTAAACTAGTTCATTTGATAGACCAGAACCTTGGTTGAACCTTTGAACCAGGTTGATTGAACTGGCCCGTTCATTCAACGCCCATCACTAGATTGACCTGCCTTACACACGGAGCGGCGATGACGTCATCAATCGATTGATTGAACGGGTCGTACGAACCGGGTCATTTTCTGAACAGATCAGTATTGATCTAGATCTTTTAAATTGAACGATTGACACACATGTACTCACCAGGACAAGTGGTGAACGTGATCCGCGAGTGGCGCGCGTCCGGGTGGGCGGAGGCGGGCACGCGCACGCGCCACGTGCGCCTGCCCGCCGCGTACCAGGCCGGCGTCACCGTGGCCGCGCTCACCGGCTCCGAGGCGCACCGCCGCCTCGTGCACGCGCCGTCGCTGCCCGACCTCCCCGCGTGATATGCTCGCCTGGTACTCAGGATCGTTATGGTAAGCCGACAGTCTGCTTCGAAACTCCACCTCCTTACGTGTTATGTGCGCCTAGTACTTATATATTTTGATTAAGTTAATAGTTTCGTCTATTAATTATTACTCGCAGCTGCTCGACCTTTCTGCGTGAGCTGCTCGCCTGGTACTCAGGACCGTTATCGAGTTAAGTGTCTGACTTAATAAGTCTCACATGCTTTTATCGTCGCAACATATTACGTGTTCTGTGCGCCTAGTATTATACTCGTATTTTCCAGCCTAATGTGATTAAGTATGACATAACATTTTTAAAGTCTGTAATTACGCAGATGATTGAAAAATTTAAAATACCCAATTTGCCCTATTTGCACTTTCTGAACTGTTTACCTCAGTTTCAAACAGTCATGATGATCGAAAATTTTATTTTAGTTTTGTTTTTATTGTAAAAAACAAAATAATTATCCCCACACAGCATGGCAACTCTCGAGGCAGAGCCATAATATATGGTCGAATGACTAATCAGACCAAAGAAAGGCCAAATTTTTAAAGAAAAAAAGATTAGTTCCGCTGCGAAAAGTAGTGCACTGTACTTTTTAACAATTTTGTCCAAAATTCCAGTGATTTTCCATCTAGATCAAGATTTAATTTTATTCTAAGTGCAAGTTCAACAAGATTTATAAGTCGATTTCACTTTAATTAAATTAATTTATGATAATTTATTATACAGGTGAGCCGTAAAGCAGCAACCCCAAAAAGACTCTAAAGGATTAATTTTCGAAATATTGGGCACAAGTCCCCATTTCACACGTATGTGGCGAGACCATTCAAGTAATATAGCATAAGGTACCACCGAATTTCTTAATAAATATTTGAAATCCAATAAGTTTAACTTTTCTATGTAAAATGTAGCAGCTTAATATCGCAAACCCCGCGCAATATTCTATAAAGCTTACGGTGTAAAATATCTGTTATTGTGAAGATGAAAAATAAAAATTATTATAAAATTAATTCATAAAATGTTTTTGGAAATATACATATATATGAAGTAGGTACGTGTATGTGAATAAAAAAATATATTACTTTAGGGCTCGAACTGAACTTTTAACGCTCAAAAGTTTTGTTATTCCCATTTTGTTTTAATTGTATATAGCATTACAGATTTCTGAACTCTTAAAATTTGATCCTAAATTGATCTTGTAAAGCTTTTTATTTCAGTAGTGAGAGAATTGCGAGTCTTCAATACGACATAGAACCGGGTTTTTGTGACCCAAACTTTGTATTGGCTAAATTTTATTAGCCACGAAATATATGTAAATATTTTTTTAAGGATATAATTATGTATGTTAGTCAATTGGTGCTTACTAGTCAAAATTATATTAGCACATACTAAATGTAATCATTTCAACACATCTCTCAACCTGTCTACCATTGTCTTACTTAGCTGTATGATTAATTAATAAAAGATAAAAATTAATATATAATAATATAAAACTCCTTACATTTCAACAACCCAAGGTCGTATATATTTGTGCTCGTGTTATATTTATTTATAAAAAAAATTTATTAAACTTCACTGTACGTTTAATAAATAGAAACACATTTTTTGTTTTTTAAATAGTATAATTGTGTAACTATATCACTGTTTTAAGGTCAAAGCGATCTTAGTGTTGTGTCCTGTTAGGATTTGAACTTATATTTATATATGGACGTTACAATGGCATAGCCCTGTTATAAAACTCCAATAGAATCCCATCAAAAGCGACAAAACCCACATAGAAACCAATAAATATATATTGGATTCTATGTGGCTTTTGTCGCATTTGATGGGATCCTATTGGAGTTTTTAAATAGGGAGTCTTACAATTTAATATAATATTCTCATTGTACCTAGTTGATACTCGTCACATTTTACTTTATTTTATTGTTTTGGATTATATCATTATTAATGTTGCCATACGATGCGGTAATATAGTGTCAATGTCATATAGTGAATATCTCCACAGTCTTCTGCCAATGCCTTAACAATAGCTTTGAACTCTCTAATATATAATTAATGGAGAAAATAAGTTTAATAAAATTTCCCCATTTATGAGATCATAAGTTTGGGTCCTTCTTCATTTAACCAAATCCAGCCTTAAAATATTTGTAGTTAATAAAAACATTCATTTTGGACTTTTCAGCAAGCGTCATATAATTGCATGATAATGTGAATATTAAATGTACAGTTGGGATATATTTTTTGTTAACCGATAAGTTGTTTTTTGTATATATTATATGTTTACGTTCAACTTGAAGTAACCTTCGAGGTTAGTTATCAACAATTATTGTCACTGGATTAAAATAAAGGTTTTATTTGATAAAAGATTTTGCATTACCTTGGTCTTTTAATATTAACCGAATTATAATTTTATGGACTGCATTCATATTCATTGCCTTTGAATAGAGGTTTTGATAGAACAATATTAAGATAATATTTTTCTATATTAGGCTATACCTATTTTCTTTTCTATATTAAAGTAAGTTTTGAATGCATATATATCGGTTAAAAGCAATTTTTGTTATTGCCTTATACAAAATTATAATATGTATCTATATTTTTCCAATTTTTATATCATTAAAATGAAATTTAAAGTAAGAATTTTTAAATTGGCAGACGAGTGTGGTGTGAAATTTACTAGTAATAATAAATAGTTTCCATATTTTATATTTGCATCATATTTGGCAGCTGTTAAGTTGGCATTGCTTATTTTTAGTGTGTAACGATTGGAAACAGTTACTGACTCCTGTAACTTGACATAATACTGGTTGAAGCAAAGTTATGTACCTATAACATTATATTTTTGGAATATACTATGATAGAATAAGGGAGTGTTTTATTTGAATTCCTTCAAGAAATTTTAATTTTTCATAAGAAATAGTTTATTTCTTCTAAAGTGTAGACTTTGAGGTTATGTACCTATTTATCATAAAAAAACGATCACTTATAATTTTAAATTTATGATTTTTCGAAAAAAATAAATAATAAAAAAAACAAATAAAATATTTCAGGTATTTATTTATAGCTTTACCATGACAAAATATTTAGTCCTTTATTACACCATCGCCAATAATTCCAACAAATATTTATAATTACATTTAATAGTTACCCCAATTAAATACTAATCATAACAATATAAAAGTTCAGAGACACCAAACTTGTTTGTTTACTCACTAGTGCGTTAAACTAAATGAAACCAACTGCAAAATTAAATTAACATTTTATGAACATTTTTATAACACTCAGACAAAATATAATTGAAACCTTTCTCTTCTATATAAATAAAAATAATTGTATGTCTTGTTTGCATTCCTAAACCGTTGATCCGATTGTAATGAAACTGAGAAAGTTCCTAGCCCCATTTTTTTTTCTCTGGACTATTGTCTTTTATGCGTTCCTAAACCATTTTAGCTTAGGGACGCACCCGAACGAACCGACGGTATGTTGCTGGTATTGTATAAAGCTAAAACCATTGTTACTGTCTAATTTGATGTATGTACAGGGCCGGATTTAACCTTAGCGCCGCCCTTGGGCACTGTAAAAAATGCCGCCCTATTATCGAAATTTTGAATTAAGTGTTGAAAGTTTAAATTTTTTAATTATTAATTTTTCGAAATATGCAAAAAAATAATAATTTATAAATGATATCAATTATTCGAAACGTCAATCTTTTTTTTATTTTACATTTTTTGGTAAATAAAAAAAGCATTTTCGATAACGCCAAAAAAAATATTTCCCCGAATTTTGCCGCCCTGGGCACTAGCCCCGAGTGCCCCATAGTCCACCACGCTGGAAAACTGCGGGTTGGCGCACTGCACATGTCTTTCAAAAACTTGCTAGTTTCTCTCAGACATGCAGGTTCCTCACGGTGTTTTTCCTTCATCGTAAGGCAAGTGGTAATCATGTTAGATATGATTCGCACATGAAAATATCAGAGGTGCGAGACCCGGGATTTGAACCCGCTTCACTCGGTTTCCCAAGTGAGCGCGTTACCACTGGGCTACTACTGCCTAATTTGACGACTATCTTTAAATCTTTAAATAAGATATCTATATAATATAAAAATGTCGCATACCATCTTTAGTATAATGATTGAAACGGACAAATTCAGTCTTGATTAAGAAAAAAAATATTTTATGTTATTGGTAACACATGTATCATATTATCACTGAATTAAACAATATTAGTCTATATAAAGTATTATCATAGGTAGGTAACCAGTGCTATTTAAGTTAGTAAGATTAAAAGAAGTTTTTTTTTAATGGGACAAAAGCTTTTACTTTTTATCCCGGGAAATAGAATGCATCCCGTGGAGCAAGAAATAAAAATTATAATAACGTTTTTACCATATAGAAAAACTATTCGATTGCGAACAAAAAACGTTATTCAACATTTATTGTAAAAATTCATTATAAGTATTGTATTTTTATATTGTTTGTGTATCCTTTATATTGTTTTTTTTTATGTATAAATAACATTTTTTTAATAATATTTCGCATTTAAGTATTAATTTAATCAATTTTGTATAATCTACTTGTTAGAGATGTTATATTTAAACATTTATTTTGAAAAAAAAGGAAGATTAATTTTTATGTTTCTGTATAAAATGCTTCAAAAATATTTAAAGGACATATATCAGCATCTATGTTTAGTAAATGGAGAGAAGAATTATCCATGTATGGATACAAATATGGACCTATACTCCATAGGTTTAGAATAATTAACTAAAAGTAAACAAGCCATAAAACAGGTTCTTTTAGATGTCGGTGTTTCTTTTTTCAAAAATTTTCGGAAGTTAAATATTTAAACTAATTTTTAATACAATTGTGCAATAAGCTGTTGCGTTTATTATGAAACTGTAAATATTAATAGTCTACAGTCCACCACGGGATTTTTCAAAGAACAATTACAAACTAAAACTCCACGAGTAGCTTCGTTTTGACGAGATGCCCAACTTTCCTTTCTACGAAAGTTTGTGTGGTAGATACAATTGTATCTATCTGTGGATGTGGATTAGCATGGAACATGTCTAAATGGTGACAGTCCGAAATTCAATACTAACAGGTCGTTTTACGATTTAATCCTAAGATAATCCAACATTAAACAAAAAAAAATGTCCAACAAAACAGATGGTTAGATCAAATCGTCCCCATCTCCGAACTTGTCAAAATAACAACGTCATCAAACTTATTCGTTATCGGCTGATTCTCATAGTATTTATTATTGAAAATATGCTTAATTAAATGATCAAATCGTCCTAGAAATAAAATGGTAGGATTTCTGTCCTACGCTCGGATAGGTACTGTCTACACGATGCATCACCCACCACATACTACCACATTCACTCCAGAAAAAAAAGCAAATACCAGCAACAGCATCAATTCAATCGTATTTATACTTTTAATATGATATGGATTAATTAATATATTAAATTTAATCATGAATTTAAATTTAAAAATGAAAAGTATATTTTGTGTACAAAATATTTTTTTTATCTAAACCAATTTTGGTGAAGTTTTGATTGTAGTTGAAGATTAATTCAATGAATAAATGATAAAAATGCAGTTATTTTACTGACAGTATGTTTTTATATCTAATAAAAAGCTAAACCCCCATAAACTGTTTATTTTTAGTTAACTATCTAAACCTATGGAGTACACATAGATACACTATACAGGACACTTGTAGCTATAACTTAAACAAAAAAACGAAATAAATAATATTAGCACAAATGGCGGATTACATAATAATTTAATTACCCTTTACGTTATTATTCCGTAACGTTATCATTATAAACAGTTAAATGGATTTATATAAAAATACAAACTGTTAAATAAAATATAACTTATTTTTGTCTGTCGTATATCATATTGAGTAGCTTCAAGAAGAGATCGGGGGATATCGTATCGGATGGGAACTGTTGTACGTGTCGTACGACCGCGTCGTGTCTTGCCTTTTCCTCCTCACGATATATCTTGGGCAGGTTCAATTCTTCATATAATCGTTTAATTCTTTCTATATGTGCCGGTTCTGAACTGCCATAGCAGGCTGCGAATACTTTCCTTTGTTTATCATTACACCGCTGTAACGCTTGCACCGCTAGCCAAGAACATTTACCCTCCTGTATGTCTGTACCTATTTTTCCCGTCACTTTTTCCACACCGAAGCAATCTATGAAATCGTCCTATAAACATAAAAATAGATTTAGTTCAAGGATGTCAACTATGACAACAGTTTAGTGTGCGTGGATATCGATATTCGAAGCTTAGGGCCTATACACACGGGGACTTTTTGAAGTGTCTCGACGCGCGTATTATGAACGTACGTCATCTGCATGAGTTCGATACATACGCGCGTTCGTGTTTTCTATGCACATGTGCCCATAAACGCGATATCTATAGGTAAATAAAAAATTTTACTAGCGCAAATTGTAGATTATTTATGAATGGTATAAATTTTTTATTATCAGAAAATTTCTTTTGAGGTAAAATTACATCAACATTATTTATATTATCATCATCATTTAGGTCCTTACATATGAAATATTCAAATTTATATCAAACGAGCGGCTCACCCTCGCTTTACTCGGGTTCGCCTCTAGGCAAACAAAAACAAATCTATCCCACGGGAACCATACATTTTTCCGGGATAAAAAGTAGCCGGGATTTTTGTTATTCTGATGTATTATATAATAACGCTATAGGTACATTTTTGTTTCTAATGATTCCGTTCAGCAAATTTTAACCTACACAACAAACTCCGTGGAGACCCTAGTTGATAATGAAGAGTCAAAAGTGATCATGAAAGCGGATCCATCGCAAACCACATCAAGAGTTAGCGGAAAGCTTCGGCGTGAGTAATAAAACAATTTTAATTCACTTGAAACCAATTGGAAAAACAAAAGAAACAAATTGCTGCGTTATATTACTTAACCGTCACAAAAAAGCCTTCATTCTTCGCATAATTTTTATCTTGTGTTGTACACAATTATTATGTTAGTAGTTACTATATTTTATATAGTGAGTAATTATAGATACAATTATTTAATAAGACATTGAAAAAACCTCATGGGTATCAAGTATTTTTACCATTTTTTTATATATTTTTTTAAATCACAATTTACTTATAGCATCTATTTTTATTTTTTATTGTAACAATTTAATCATAAAAAAACGTCATTTCATTATTTAGAGTCGATATTTAAGCTTAATATGAACGATTTATGTAATTAATTTTATGATTCTATTAAATCCATTACGTTACATTCATAGGGTAAAATAGAAGGATAAAATGTCCACATAAGTTTTTTCAGTGCATGGTATATGGACATCTCAGATTTTTTCACCTGAAGCTATAAAATGATTTATAAAAAGTCCAAAAATACATGCAAAAAAAAATTTAATCTAAAAAAAAAATTAACAACATAAAAAAATTACCTGCATTTGAAACAAATGACCAATTTCGAAGCATATTTTCTCTGCCTGGTTGTGTGTTTCTCGCTCTAGTTTATTCGCTAGAGCTAATCCCAAGCATACCGGCAGTTTTAGTGTGTAATATGATGTCTTGTACTTCACTATAGAACTGTACCTTTCCAATGTGAACATACTGTAATCGTTTTTGTTGCGATGCGCCATTGTGAAGTCAAGGTGTTGCCCGGCTGACGTATATAGAAGAGCCTAAATTATATTTTTAGGTGTTAGGTAATTCGTAAGAGAATATAATAAAAGTATTAAAGTATTTTATATATTTACTAGCATTGCACGCGGCTCCGCCCGCGTTCAGATGACCAAAAAGCAAATTCTTAGGTTTTACATATTACTTAGTCTAATCTTACAATGCAGTTTTTGCATTTTTTTTCTCAGAAATGAGATATTTTCCCTAGGTAAAAAGTATCCTATATGTTGACCCGGATAACCACATATCACCATACTAAATTTCATCAAATACCTCCAGTGGTTTTTCTGTGATGCGGTAACAGACAGACTGACAAAAATTCTAAAAACTATAGATTCGGCCTCTGTATCGATAATAATGTTTATTTCAATAAGATTTTCCAAAAAATATTTTATGTACAGATTCGGCTTAGTTACAATTTTATTATATGTATAGATTTTGTCGCCCGAGAGTTTTTATCGTGCCATAACTTCTAAGGTAATAGTATAAATTATATGGCGTAAAGGATAAAACGTATGGAACGTATTAATATTTTAAATATATTTATTTTTTATATTAGGATAATAAACATATTTATTTAGATATAGATTAACGCCATGTTGCCCTAAATACATAGCTTCGCAAATGTTCCATTATTTATGATCACAACTTGAAAGATAAAAATGACACGATTTTTTTCCGACATAGTTGACGAATGTCGTCATACCTATGGTTAATTTGCATATACATACATAATATATAGTCTACTAACATTTTCTCGCGGCTCTGCTCGCTTAGCTAATTATTTAATACTATATCTTTAAAAATTATAACCTACGTGTTACTCTGAGGTATTATCTATATTTCTGTAGTTTTATTAAATACCATTAAGCCGTTCTGGCGTGATTGAGTAACAAACATTCATCGATCCAAATTTTCGCATTCATAATATAATAGGATGGCCATCTGGAACAAAGTATCTTTCAAACGGTCAAAAACTTTTTCAAATAAGTAAAGTGGTTACAGAGATTACCGTCCGCAACTCGCAAAATTCTCACACTGTTTATAATGTATCTATGATACATACATACTTGTATACGTCGAAGTGTAATCGTTAAGTAAAAGTACCTGCTACACGTTCATCACTTCCAGATCAAAATAAAGTATTATTTATGTGACCTTATTAAATTAGAATCTTAAAATGATCATTCATCTCAAATGAAATAGTTATTAAAACGGTTTGCAAAATACTTTTCCTTTTTAAAACCGACCTACCTCGTTAAGCAAATTCATGAGATGTGTGTACTGCGGCATATGTTTACAATACGTGTTCATCACTTCATATATACATGCTTGTATTAGAATGGCATCGTTGATGGCACCGAGGCCTATGTTAGGCAGTTTGTACCAACAAGGCACGCCACGACGTTTCGTCGAGCCATCCATTATGTCGTCCATAACTAAGAAATAAGCGTGCAACTACAAATATAAATTACAATTAATAACATAACAATAACGGATTTTTTCGCACATTTATTTAGATTTTTGCTACCCGACCTTTCGAATGCTTTAAGCTTAGTTTATACTACGACACAAATTGCGACATAAATGTCACAGAATAATTTGTTTACTGTTCACACTTTTACGAATTTTTGTGTCTGAGTAGTATCTGTGTATAAATGTACGAAAATTGTGTCTGAGCTGTTCACACTCCTTGCTCCACATGAAACTCATTAAGAGCTATCTTCTACGCGGTGCGGTGTATTGAAAACATCGAACCTGTTTGAAAAATTTTCAACCACACGAGACACTTGGACACATCACACACGTGTTCACACAGCCACTGATACGACAGTAATTATTGTGTCACAATAAATTTCACAAAATAGAGACCCTCACGTTCACACACAGACATTCGGTGTATACATCGAGTGTAGTGTCTTAGTCTAAACTAGGCTTTACAGCAATCATAGTGAGGGAAGACTAAAATTTTATACAATTTTGACCTTTGAGAAAAGGTCAAAATCCGAAAAGAAGGTTTCATTTAAAATGTCAAATATTCGCGTAAATCTAAGAAAGTATTTATACAATTAATAAATATAATAATAATAATAAATTGTAGCTATTCAAATAAGTGCTGTCTTCTTAATTGTACGGGTTATTTAATTATATAATACTTGCGAATATAAAAATAAATATAAAAATGAAAATAATAACACGTTTCAATATTAATAGCTTGAAAAGGCAATATGTGCATAGTATACGTGTACAAACTATTAGCGTAAGAATAAAATAAATTAACTTACCATCTCAACACACCATCCCACTACTCTGCTGATTTTTAGTGATTCTTCTGTAATATTTTGTGGATCTTCAACACTTTCGTATGTGTATGTTGTGATAAGACCTCTTGTTTTTTTGCCACCTTGTAAGTTATATTCCAGTACCTACAAAGTGTTTTTATTTAATTTGAAACTTACGCAATGCGGTAAACAGTATGATATTTAAATACGTTGGTCCAAGATAGCACTAGTTTTAAAGATAAGTATACATAATATAATAAAAATTCTGTCTAAATTTCCCAATGCTAGGCACGAGCCTTGTCTCAATACTAGGATAAATAGACCATCTAAGTACCTCACGCTGGCCAAAAATGTTAGACAGCAGCTGCTTGCCTTTCGAAGTTTTCCTTCACCGTATTAGCAAGCGGTACTTAATGAATTTAATGGTCTAATGATCTGGTGTAACCACTACCTAAAATCTGGTGGTGCCGGGTTTACCTCAGATATAGGCTTCGAAATAACATAGTCAATTGAATCTTAGATCTCCAAAATACAAATGTGTACTAATAGGTCACTCTGCCACACTATAGAAGAGATAAATGCAGGCTATACAAAACTTATTAAAAACGCACTCTATATCAGAGTTAACTGGAGAAAGGAAGAAATTCACGAAATTAGTGAACGTCGTTCGTTTTATTCCGTAATTACTAAAGAACTAAAAGTCCTAGGAATAATTATTCACTCAATTGTTGCTTGAACTTTTTAACAATGCCTTACTCGATTTGCTCCATATTCCACATTTTGTGTCGATTGACTTGTTTGGTAGAAAATAGTTCAAAGACCAATCTAATTACGATATAACTAGATATTTATTTATTTATTCATTAAGATTACCAACAGAAATGACAACAGTAATACAAAGATAATTTACATAATAAATTAAACAGTATATTGTATTTCTTTTTAGAGGTAATCACAACATGCATTGATTGTTTAATAAATGAAAGGATAATAAGGAATTAAAAACTAAATTACCCTATAGGATAAATTAATATAAATTAATTATTAAAATAGAATTATTTAACAGTATTATAAATAGATTGATTATTATATATTAAAATCATATTATAAAAAATAAAATTATTTCAATATTATATCAATAAATTCATTGATTCATTATTTTTAAGGAAGTTAACTAATTTTAATTTGAAGGCAGGTAAGCTATCGCAAGTAATATCGAGGCTAGAAATCTTCGAGGACATATCATTATAGTGCGTGCTAGTCTGGCTAAAGGGGAATACTTTCCCAAGTTCGACCTATATAAGGATACACTTTCTAGATAGTTTTGATGGCACATTAAAATTAAATAATTGGACTATTGCTAGACAATCAATACTGTCGTTGAGCATTTTGTTGAGCATCATGTCTGAGATCTTCTACGCGATTATAGTGAGTTATAATGTACCAACCGTCTTTCGTAGGAATTATTAGTTTGATTGCTATTCGAACGGTAGGCAAGATGACATAGTAGTCGCTTTTGTATTCTTTCCAATCTAATGCTATGGATTTTGTAGTGTTGATTCCATATTTGACTACAGCATTCTAGTTTACTTCTAACCAGACAACTAAAAAGTTTGATTGTAGTAGAGGGCTTCCTGAACTCTCTGGAATTCCTCAATATAAAAACAAGTGACGACTTCGTAGCAGAGGTGATTATGACATCGATATGGTTGGTGAATTTTAATTCGCTGTCTCGTATAACGCCTAAATCATGTATCGCTCGAACTGCAGTAGATTTTCAGTATCAATATAATATTGACTCTGTGCGTAATTTTGTTTTCTAGTAATCTAATAAAGCGTTATTTTTTTGGCATTGAGATTTTTTTTTGTTATTAAACCATTGTCGAGATCTTCTTGTAATAGTTCAATTCATTCAGATCATCAGCAAATAGATAGATAGACTTTCGAGTACCTATTGAAATATCGAAACAATGACGTCTATAAAGATATTAAAAAATACTGGTCTTAAGTTCGAGCCTTGCGGTACACCAGAGTAGGCAATATAATTATGTCTGAGAGGAGTACCCATCTATAACCACGGACGAAGATCTACTTTCAAGATCAACAATGTCTCATTAGCACCAAATGTTCCCAAGTTTCTTGACAAGTAATGCATAATTTACTTTGTCAAAGGCCGTAGAGAAGTCTGTTCATGCGAGTTGCTTCTGATACTTCTGTGACAACAAAGAAGACTGTGGAAGCTACACCTTGATTGTGTGATCTTCTTCAGCAGATCTAACGTGGGGCGTCGTGGTAGAGTGCGTAAGCGATCCTGCGACGTCCCATTAAAACGGGAGAGCTTCTGTTGCGAATTAGTGGGTAGTATTTGTTTCTATAACCGGTCACACATAAACACCTGTACGTATGCAGGTGTTATGTGTAAATGAATTTCCTTTGATGTTAAAAACAAAAAAAGGTTTAACCCCTTTACTTAGTCCTAATTACCTCACTACCCATGCCACCAAAATAAAAACTTACCCTCTTATAAATTGGATAGGCAAATTAGGAAATATTCCTAAAGTTAAATGGCTACATCACCATTAACACTGGTTCCTAATAACCTATCCATTTCAAGTTTTATTTACTAGAGATGTAATCAACAGTGGTGAAAATATTTATATTATGACAAAGAACAAATTTTATTATTAATAATAATCATTAAAAATAGTTTTACCTTTTTAGTCCAACTAGCAACTTCTGGAACCTCAGTAAACTTTGTGCTAGTAACAATCGTATCCATGATACTTGGCAAAAGATCCTGAAAAGTATCTTTTTCTCTTTGTATTTGAGATATGGATGCATTCGCTGACATTTTAATAAACTGTTGCTGTGGTACACTGTCAAACGAAATAAAAATATATTATAAAAAATAAAACACATAATATAATACAGATCAACTATACATAAATTTAAAAAAGGAAAATCTGATTTAATTTTATATAATAATTCTTATTGTATTTGTTTTTATATTCTTTTTTTTTTGCTTTATGAATGTGATTTGATGTTTTAAATAGCTATAAAAGGTAATTTACTTATAATATAAAAAAAATATTAGGATTTACACTTAAGAAACGCAACAAAAGTATTTTTTATGAAATTTTAAATACAAAATGTATAATATTATAAAAAATAAAAAGAATAAGGTTAAAATAAAAGAAACTTTACAGATGCATAATGAACAGGACATTCACCTCAAATATATTATGATTGTAATATGCCGGTAAAAAGAAACTGCAGTGAAGTGATAAATAAAGACAGATAAATGAAAGCAACTTCCTTTAACCTTTTAACTAGATTTTTCAAAGGAAGGTATTTGTAAGCCGATAGGTGTCAGTCTCTTTATCTTGTTTAAAAATTAGCATTTAAATATAAAACTTCCTTGTGTTTAAATCTGATATAATATTATTGTATTGTTAGATACAGATATCGATCACAAGCACATTGAATGTTGATTTTTTCAAATAAGTTATTCAAATTGCTGTATTTATACTATTCAATTCAATTCTCTTTGACTTCTATATCTATACATATAATAAAATTCTAACTGAGCCGAATCTGTACATGAAATATTTTTTGGAAAATCTTATTGAAATAGACATTATTATGGATACAGAAGCCGAATCTATAGTTTTTAGAATTTTTGTCTGTCTGTCTGTTACCGCATCACAGAAAAACCACTAGGGGATTTTGATGAAATTTGGTATGGTGATAGCTGGTTATCCAGGTCAACATACAGGATACTTTTTAATATGTAAAACCTAAGAATTTTGGTGTTTGGTCATCTGAACGCGGGCGGAGCCGCGGGCAATATTATAAAGCTGAACAGTGTTCATATTTTATTTCAATTTGAACAAAAAAATTTGCATTTTTGTTTATAAACTTTCTAGGGAAATTTATAATATATTTAATAAACTAATAATAAAATGATTTAAATGTACGTATAAGGGGATACATAGTAACATATGATGCAAATACATAGTATACATTCTTAATATTCAATAAATATTTATTTTGACATTTACCTAGATTTTATTTATAATAGCCTATTTTTTTGTTACTTGTTAGCAATATTTTAAACCACGATAAGAATAATGTTTAAATAAAATATATTTTACAATATTTGTGCTATTCTTATGTATTTGGAAAAGTATTCATTGTAGGAAATTGTCTTTATTTAATGAAAGTAAAGTTGAGATACTGATAATATATGTCTTACCTTAAAGTTTTGAGGCCCAAGGGGGTACTTCTATTCACTGTTCTAAATAACTTCATTAGAGAATTCATGTTAGATTTAGGCTACGCGCCAACAACTTTCTCTGACCAAATAGTACGAAATAATTAAAAATAATTAGAAGACGATTCTTTTATTATTATTTATAAATTATCAATACTGCACATAAAATATAGCACTTTTATGTCTTTAATAAATAAAAAATATTTTTAGTAAAAAATAACAAGTCGAACACATCCAACGTCGAACTTTATTTGACGTTGAGTGACTTCTGGTTCTGGTTGTGACTTCTGATTGACAGTGACAGTTGAAACGACTTACGACACCAATGCCACACCGATTTCATAAAGCCTCGTTGACACGATTAAAGTTTACTTTGACAAAATAGTTTTGAAGACTACTTGGACGCAATTTTGATCATGCAAACGAGCAATCAATGCGCTCTTTGATATGGACGTTAATCGAAGTGGACTTGGACCGTGTTCTACTTTTTTTAAAGCAATTTCTTTGACAAATTAGTTTTGATGACTACTTTAATCGTGTAAACGAGCAATCAAAGCGCCTTGGAGCCGAATTTTTCAAAGTGAACTTCGCTTCAAAGCTTTTTGTCAAAGCAGACATTGAGTGTGTCAACAGGTATCCAGGTAAATGATCAAAGCTACTTTGTCAAAATAGGTTCTCTTTGATAAAGTCCACTTTGATTGAACGCTGACGTCGAAGTGCGCTTTAATTGCTCGTTTATACGATCAAAGTAGTCATCAAAACTACTTTGTCAAAGCAGGCTTTGAAAAAAGTAGAAAACGGTGCAAGTCCACTTTGATTAACATCCACATCAAAGTGCGCTTTGATTAACATCCACATCAAAGTGCGCTTTGATTGCTCGCTTAGATAATCAAAGTTGCGTCAAAGTAGTCATCAAAACTACTTTGTCAAAGTAGACTTTGATGGTGTTTACGCGGCTTTAATTAGGTTTTTCTTTAACTCTAAAATCGTCCACAGGTGAATATTTTGTTTCTTTTTATTTTTTATATTTTTTTACAAATTAATTACAGAGTTTCAAACAAACTTTCATCCCCCATTATATTCCCTTATGAGATTGAATTTCGAAAAACGCTAAAACATGTATTTATTTAATTGTATTGAAGAGCATTAATACCAAGTTTCAAGTATTTCAGATCATAAATAATTCTTTGTCAGTATAAACTTTATGACTCCCTTAAACCTTTGACCCCTTTTAGGGATGAATTTCAAAAAATCCATTCTCAACGGATGCCAAAATCATATAAGGAATACGTCCTCCAAATTTCAGGTTTCTACGACCAGCCGTTTAGGCTGCGAGTTGATTTATCAGTCATTCAGGACTCAGGACTACCGCAGAATGCTCTTCTCCTTCTCGATTTTTCCTTCAGCTGGTCCTAACTTCCAGGTACAATACATTGCACAGGTAGGATGCGAACACAATAGAAGCAAAAAACCCAGGTATAAAAGAGATATCACAATGAATTGCTTAACCTCAAACTGAATGTTAATAGGCCATAAGTGTGGTGCCCTCCTTTCGAGAAATCTTCCCCATTAAGTTTCAATTAGTCGAAATTCAAACACTTCTAAAAACAGCTTACATGTCAAAAGTTATTCATTTTACATGTGTCTCGCTGCCACCACAGATTATGGATAGTACAGCTGCCTATTATACTATCGTTAATTTCATACTAGATTGACCTACCCTACCCCAGCCTGCAAATTTATGATATTTGCAATGAAAAAAATACTAATCGATAGATTTTCAATAGCTCAATTTAACTACGTAGCCCTTTCAAATTGCTCACCTTTAATTATTTAATTAAAAATCAATAAAGTCTTTGAAAAAAAATTAATTTATCTGTATATTCAAACTCCTATATCTTTTGATGTATACAATATTTCAAATTGCTCAAAGTTCTAAAACACTGCTCAAGTTGCATTTGTAATTGCTCAAGTAGAGTTTTTACCAGCTCCACTTTCGCTGATTATTAAATAATTAAAAGTATAGTTGTAATAAATGTAACGTAGGTTAAGTGAGCGTGCGCATGCGCACCGCGCATTGTCGGTCGGCCTCGGCGGGCTTGGACAATCGTTCCAATTCAACGTCTTAATTCTGTTTCTCGGTGGATTTCTTTAAATTTATTGAATTTATGAATTGTTCACATTACGTGATTCCACTTCAGATATTATAACATAAAGAACAGATCTGGAATCTACCAATAAATGAAAATTACTGCGCAGCACTCACCTATCTATACGTTAAATTTATTCAAACTATTTATATTTATTTAATAATTAAGGAAAGTGGAGCTGGTGAGAACTCTACTTGAGCAATTACAAATGCAACTTGAGCAGTATTTTAGAACTTTGAGCAATTTAAAATATTGTATATATCAAAAGATATAGAAATTTGAATATACGGATAAATGAATTTTTTTCAAGGACTTTATTGATTTTTAATTTTATAATTAATGGTGAGCAATTTGGAAGGGCTACGTAGTTGAATTGAGCTATTAAAAATCTATCGATTAGTATTTTTTTCATTGCGAATATCATAAATTTGCAGGCTGGGGTAGGGTAGGTTGATTTATCAAATCATAATCTGTATGTATTATACATAATCACATGATCATGTCTCACGTAGCATAAATAGATAATTATTGACCTACCCTACCCCAGCCTGCAAATTTATGATATTTGCAATGAAAAAAATACTAATCGATAGATTTTCAATAGCTCAATTTAACTAAGTAGCCCTTTCAAATTGCTCACCTTTAATTATTTAATTAAAAATCAATAAAGTCTTTGAAAAAAAATTAATTTATCTGTATATTCAAACTCCTATATCTTTTGATGTATACAATATTTCAAATTGCTCAAAGTTCTAAAACACTGCTCAAGTTGCATTTGTAATTGCTCAAGTAGAGTTTTTACCAGCTCCACTTTCCTTAATTATTAAATAAATATAAATAGTTTGAATAAATTTAACGTAACGGAATCACGTATATTATTATAGGGAGTGAGAAAGATGAAGATTATGCCATCTACTGGGAAAACACACAAACAAAGTGATGGTAAGCAGTATTAGTTTTGCTTTATCAGCGTCTTTAATTTATTATTTTTTGTTAATTACAAGTATCTTGCTGTATTCGTTGCTGTTCAAATATGCCGTATAAAAATAATACGCAGTTGAAATTTTATCGTTTCCCCGAAAGTTTATTGACCATGCAAACATCAAACACTGGTTTGAGCGACAACTGTGCAGGTTGTGACTGATAGCTTATTTTCATATTTTGTTTCAATTACATTTGAAACATAACCTGATTCAAATAATTTTTGGCTTTTTATATCCGATCATTTTTTATCAGTAAAAAATCAATTTTTATAATTTTTTGCTTAACTAATATTCTTTATTACATAGATTACATCACTATGTTTTTCTTATTTAACACCAGGGCGCTCTACTTTCAACAAAAGTGCTGCCCTCTATAGTTCGAGCACACTTCCTTAAGCTTGGCCCGACCCGGGACTCAAACCCAGAACCTCTGGATCTGCGACCGTACATGTTAGCCACTAGGGCATTGTGGCAGGTTATACATATTAGGCATATTTTAGCTCTAGCTTAACGATATGTCAACTAAACTCGAGGAAAAATTTTGCTCGTCTACAATAATTGTTGTGTATTCAGCCCTTTTTACGTCCCACTGCTGGGCACGGGCCTCCCTTCAATATGAGGGCCATCAGGCCATAGTCCACGACGCTGGCCAAGTTCGTGTGGGCGTGTTTTTTTGAAAACTTGCTAAGCTCTCTCAGACGTGCAGGTTTTCTCACGATGTTTTCCTTCACCGTAAGACAAGTGATAATCATGTTTGAAAGGATTCGCACATGAAAATATCAGAGGTGCGAGACCCGGGATTTGAACCTGCTTCACTCGGTTTCCCAAGCGAGCGCGTCACAACTGGGCCACCACTACTATCAAAAAATATTAAGGTTAAGAATAATAAATCTACTCGTATTTATGTATATCACATTTATTATATTTCAATAGTTCATACAAACAAGTTTAATACCACACCATCTCCCGCCAGGGGCTACAGACATTTTTGTACAACGCTTATCAAAGGCGAAAATCAAAAATTGTATAAACCGCCTCTATAGAAATGTACGCTGTAAGTAATTAGGTTAAAAACTGTTATTCTAGTATATCTCAGTCATATGAGGTAAAAAAGAGCCGAACTTTGGAATGAAAGAAGAGGTATTGAGCTGAATATTTTTTGGCATTTTATATTATATCAGCTCAAAAGTCTCGTACAATCTGATGTCGAACATCATAAGTTATGTCATAGTTCTTTTTTTTTAATAACTTTCACCAAATCGAACTTAGGCATTACATACGATCAACCGCCACCTTAATAACATTCCGAAGTTAAATCCTCATTTGACCAGGCAAAAATGTTCGAGGCCATGCTTTATTGTTATGTGTTTAATATATTTTAAAAATTTTGATAAATGGTAATACTAAGGAAAACTATTTTACGACAATATTATTAGTACATATATAATGCTTAAATATTAAGTCAATAACACTTCATATTCTCCCAACTCCATGTTAGAATAAGACAGTATTATCCTATCCTATTGTAATACTTATCTACCATTATTTAATAAAATACACCTTAAAAACTATTCAGAGGACGTGAACTAACACGATTAACAAGTAAACAATTATCTTTTTTTTTATAATTTAAATCTTATACGCACATTTTTTTATGTCAGAATGTCCTTGATAACCGAACTATTCTAAAACCACTCGAGTTGATTTAAATATTTCGCCTGAAAATATTGTCCAGTATTTTGAAGAAGAGATCATGTGGGAGTCCTCTAGTGACTTGTTGTATTTGGGTCCTAAGGAGATCATATGTAGCTTCTTCATATACTGAATAGGTGTGAGGCAATTGTAATTCTTCATAGAGATCCTTAATTTTCTGCACATCCTCGAAATTGGAGCTGCCATAGTGGTTTTCCATTAATTGGCGTTGCGAAGGGTTCGCTCTTTGTAAAGCAACTACTGCAAGCCAAGTACATTTGCCATCTTGAATGTCTGTCCCATTTTTGCCGATAACTGCCGGATCACCAAAGCAATCGAGAAAATCATCCTGTAAATAAATGTAAATATTGGTACTTTTTATATATTATTTCAACAATATGAGTGTTCGGTAAAATTATTGTCACTAATTCATATTTTTCGATAAAATATTCGTAATGAGTATAAAATGACACATCGCATTATTTTGTATTTATAGTAATGTGTATTTTTTTAAGGAACAGAAATAATTAGTACGGGAATCATTTACATTTGTAAAAAAACATAAAACGAGCAACATCGATGTATGAAGTTAAATTATAAAAACCTTAGATAATAATAGATAAGCTTTCATAGTTTTACTTCAATACCTGTAGTTAATAAGTTAAACGTATATTGAGTAAAATATTATAAGTAACGTATATTAAGTATACGTAAGTAAAATATTAATTAATTTCATTGTCTGGAGGTGATTTCTGCACGTAAAGTTCAAATGTATTAAATACAACATTTTATTAGATACAAGATACAATTATTAGAATTTTATGCAAATTTAAATGCTAATTTACAAAATGTTTATAAATTATCTTTTAGCATTATTATCTTTAGTTAGGTGTTCTTAGGTATTATCAAGGTGTTTTAACCGTAACACTTTCAATAACATTTAAAATATTGTGACGAAAAATTGTTTGAAAATTTAAAACGTACTTGAATTTGGAAGAATTCTCCCATCTCTAATAATATAGTCTTCGCTTGTCGGTGTGTTTCGGGATCGTCCACTCCGGTCATAAGTAGTGCCAGGCCAACCGGCATTTGGAAGGTGTAATACGAAGTCTTATATTTGGTAATTGCCTCATAATTTTCCATTGTAAATAGTGAGAGATCAGGTCTGTCCGTCTTTGTCATTTGTTGTTCTAAATAGTGGCCGATTGAACACTTAAGCAGCATCTGAAATAATGTTTCAAAATATGATAACTAATTATTTCTTACTTATATATATACGAGTATGTATATAGATATCTGACACAAAAACCATATACATAATATTATATACTATTCTTTATTGCACTTATATGCAAAATACAGAGATTAACAAACAAGAAAATTAGTTAGCAAAGGTGGGCTTATCTCTAGAAGAGATCTCTTCCAGTCAACCTAAGTGAGTTGTCCAGCACCAAGAGATATTATTATAAAGCAGGCTAAAGTGCAGTTACTAATATATAAATACTTAAATAAATATATTTTATATACATATAATAAAACATATTATCACAGCATAAAATATAGGTATACATATCAGTGGGCTGTGATATTATGTATTTAACTTAATTTTCTTTTTCTACAGAAAGTTTGCACACAGTTCAACGTAGTAAACGCTATTTTTGATAAGAATATCTAAAGGAATTTTTTAATTACTTGTGTTGTGGCTTATCGTAATTTGCAAATCAAATACTTGTAGTACTTAAAATTACAATATTGATAGAGTTTAAACGATCAAAGTCCTTCAGGAATACAACTACGTAGTTAGATTTGTGTCACCTATACAAATATATTATGAGGTAAAAAATCTGTTTAGCTAAGTGACACATATAAATCAGATAAATGAATAATTTATATCAGATAAATGTATATAATTTATTAGGTCCATAACAATCGCACAATGCCGTGTATTATATTCAGCTCTGTTTTAACGACCCACTGCTGGGCACGGGCTTCCCCTCAATACAAGTGGGACCAGGCCATAGTCCACCACGCTGCCCAAGTGCGGGCGGACTTCATATGTCTTTTGAAAACTTGCTAGTTTCTATCAAACATACAGGTTTCCTCACTATGTTTTCCTTAGCCGTAAGACAAGTGGTAATCATGATGGAATGATTTGCACATGAAAATGTCAGGGGTGCGAGATTTTAACTCACTTCACTCTGGGCTGCCATTGCCTTTAAAACATACTAACCTTTTTCTAATATTATGAATGTAATATTTTGCTCATATGAAACAAACATACAGCCTAAAAAATGCTACTATTTTGTAATTACTATAAATAGATACTGACCTCATTGAACATTTCAAGCACATTCTTGTAGTAGGGTTTGTTCGAGAAGTATCGCTTGAGGGTGGAGTACATTGCAGCGCTGATGAGGCTCGCGTCGTTCATACCGCCGAGTCCTACATTAGGCTGGCGGTACCAACACGGTACACCACGACGTATTTCTGCGCCGTCCATCATATCTTTTAGAATTAGTTGATGCGCGTGGAACTGTTAACAAATGTATGTATGTATTCAGCCCTTTTTAACGTTAAAAAGGGGCGGACCAATAAAGTCCTGAAAAGCCGGCAACGCATTAGTGGTGCCTCTGGTGCTACAAATGTTCATGGGCGGCGGTAATCTCTTAACATCAGGAGACCCGCCTGCTCGTTTGCTCGCCTATATTATAAAAAAAAAAAAAAAAACGTCCCACTGCTGGGCACGGGCCTCCCTTCAATACGAGGGGGATCAGGCCATATTTTTAATTAATTATCAATCTACTATTATAAATGTGAGAGTGTGTCTATGTTTGTTATTCCATTCTGAAAAGGCTGGATAGATTTGGATGTAATTTAGTACATATATAGACTTAGGTATGAACTTGAGTAACATAGGCTTCTAGGCACTTAGGGACGCGCCTAAATCTTAAGAATCTTATATAATGATGATGTCACGGCCCGGGCCTAGCCTCGTGTCTACCTAGCTTTTATAAAAAATCAACCCCTAAAAGCCTATAAAAAACAGTATTTGACACATTTGGCACAATTCGTATTTGAAACAAAATTTGTCGGATGTAAAAAATAGCCCGGCTTCTTTTAGACGTTTAATTCATGACATGATCATATAAAAAAATATTTTAACGCATATATTCATGATTTATATATGGACTATCGACCTATGTGACAATTAAAACAACGAAACAATACCTAGGTTACCTAACTAGGTACCTAGGTTACCTACTATTTTTTTTGTGACAGCGTCAATCACGTAAGATTATAATTATTTCTACTTATGACATAATTACGACCATTAGCTATTGATTTTTATTTGTTATAATTAAGGCCTAGGAATAAGTAATTATTTATTCGTAGATTAAGGCAGTTAAAAAGAAAACTTTTTATATAATTTATAGATTACAAATATTCACGTGGCGTGGCCACATTCTGCATTTTAGGGTTGTTCAGAATAATAAATGTTGTCATCTATACATATAATAAAATTGTAACTAAGCCGAATCTGTACATTAAATATTTTTTGGAAAATCTTATTGAAATAGACATTATTATCGATACAGAGGCCGAATCTATAGTTTTTAGAATTTTTGTCTGTCTGTCTGTCTGTCTGTTACCGCATCACAGAAAACCACTGGAGGGATTTTGATGAAATTTGGTATGGTGATAGCTGGTTACTCGGGTCAACATATAGGATAATTTTTACCGCGGGAAAATATCTCATTTCTAAGAAAAAACAATGTAAGAGTATTATACTAATATGTAAAACCTAAGAATTTGGTTTTTGGTCATCTGAACGCGGGCGGAGCTGCGGGCAATGCTAGTTATTAATAAATACCGTTAGTTGTTTATAATAAAACACCACAATTGGTTACCTATTATAATTACTAAGCGATAAATAGTTTTAACGGGGTTTTATTAAAAAGTATTATAAAAAATATCCTAAAACTTGTTTAAATTAATTAACACAGATAATGAAAAGAATGAAAAGGAAGAACAAATCTGTCTTTATTTAAAATTTTCAAAATTCATTATATTAATATAGGTAAGTCAAGAAATATCACTAATCAATGTTTCCCATTCAAAAATTAAAGCTATATCACCAATATATCTTTCACCTTGGAATTTGTTTTGTATTGGCAAGGTTCGGAAGTGTCCATCAAATTATAATCAAACCAAACGTGACATTAGTGTATATTCAATTTCAAAAAAGATAAAAATCCGATAAAACTCATAATAAAACCGGAATCAATAAACAAGAAATTATCTATCAGATTCTAATTCAATTACACTGAGAGTAGCAAGATGTTTTTATGTTTTTGTATTTTATAATATACATACCTACGAGTAATGGGTTCACATACACGTGATAAATCGATCTACCATAAATATTTCCATTGGGCCTAATAAGTGTACAATTGTGAATTATAAGTGTAAGCGAGCTTATGTTTGCTACTTTGACTATTTAAAAGCGATTGCAACATATATTCAATATTCGGTCAGAAGCCTTTTAATGGCTACAAAAATAGTTTTTATAAATATTTAATTGAAGGTTACACTAAGTTAAACCCTATGTGATAAGTCTATATCTATGTATACAAAAATCCCTATGTGTGATCATTTAACATTTTTGATGTTAAGTTATATTTAAATTAATTTTATCATTAAGATTTCACATCTCACAAGTGTTTTGTAGTATTGAAATAAATAGACGACTATCGACGCGCGATGTCAGAGGCCGCGTGTTGCATTCCAAAAGGAAAAAGACCTGCATCGACCATAGAAATAAAATATTTCTATGGTCGATGCAGGTCTTTTTCATTTTGGTATGAGGATGCGCAGTGCTATGCACTGTTAATTAGCACCACAGGAATTGTGGAAAATGGAGAATGTAATATTTTTTCACAAGTTTATCTTTATCTCTCCGCATAAAAATGAAAAAAAAAATCTATCGACTTACCATTTGTGTACACCATCCCATTATATTTGCCAAATGTATGTTTTCTGGGGTCAAGTTTTCTTGCTTTTCCAACATTTTATAAGCGAGTACAGTTGCCAAGCCGCGGTTTTTCTTTCCGTTTGGGACATTGTACTGCAAAAGCTGTAACAAGAATATATTATTGAAGTAAATATGTTTCATTAAATATATACAATTTGAATCTTTTATATATTTTTTATTTAAATAGTATTATTTAAACGTTTCAAGGTTATCCTTGACTACAATTTATTATGATTCTTTTGCATACATATAATATTTATAATTCTACAACTTTATATTTAAATTAGATAACAAAAGGAAATCTTTAAAGTAAACATCAGAGCTTCTCTTTATATAATCATTAGTATGTAATATTATTCAATTTAAAAAAAATTCAAATCTTTTTATTCGACTTTAATTAATGCATGTAAATTGTAAAGTGTTCGATAATATTAGTCAAAACTTTTAGTTAGTTACGCAAAGAATATAATATGGTCTAGATTAGTAGTTGCATATGAGATAATTACAATTAGTACCTATCCTATGTTGTTTTTTTATTTGATTAAGTCTAACACCCACAGACATACGTCCGTGTTTTTTTTGAGCATTTTTATATTTTGTTATTATTTTTTTTATTTGAGATGGATTCGTGCGTGTACAATTTTAGAATCAAAACATTTTAAGGACAAAGAAGAAAAGCTGAACAAAATTATGGAGTCGGGTGGACTTTAAGAGTCCAGCCAAATGAGGTTAGTGTATTATATGCGAGGTTAATATAAAAACTTTTTAACAAAAAAATAAAAACCGACTTCAAAAAAGCACTAAAAAGTAAAAAACAACTGATTGGTAGATATTTCATTTACTATACATACCTAATCAAATATAGGTATTCGTAGTCGGTGTGCTTTGCTTTGATCGGTTGGCACCCACTTCGAATATATTTGATTAGGTATGTATAGTAAATGAAAACTACCAACAAGGTATTTTTAACTTTTTAGTGCTTTTTTTGAGGTCGGTTTTTATTTTTCCCTTTTTAGTGTAAACATAGTAGTAGCAAAGTGAGAAGAAAGTATTTTAATAAAATATTCGCTTAAACCGTTTAAGTTACTTTGATGCTAATTTTAATATTAAGACTGACAAACTAAAATTCACTTTTATTAGGAACACTAAAAATTCTGGCTCTAAAATCCGACTTGTCAAATCAAACAAAATAAGCCCAAACTCAAGTATCTACTATTAGCCGTTGAAGAGTTCCACCTATCCATCTTCTGGCCTCAGATCAGGTTAACGTACCGAACCACTGCACTATCAACGGAAATAGAAACACTTAAAAAGTTTCAAGTCAATATAACAATTAGAAGTAGTTTAAATTCATCATTAGCTATTTTGCCACCCTTAGGGGTGGTATTTTTTTGAAATTTAAATGGAACCAATCTCGTAGTATACACTTTCAAACAAAACAAAAACTGTCTAAATCGGTTAATAAATGACGGAGTTCTGAGGTAACAAACATTAAAAAAAAACATACAGCCGAATTAAGAACCTCCTCCTTTTTGAGGAAGTCGGTTGAAAAGAAGAAAGGGCTTTGTCATGGGTTGAGCTTGATGGTATTTTTGCAATGTTGTTTAGACATACTGTGCAATGTGCACTGTAAAGGTATAGCGATTGGCGCAATGGTTCTGCGGCCTTTGAGTGTCATACAAGTTGTGAAGTTGTTGTAAAGTTGTTGTGAAAGTGTTTTTGTCAAAGACTTACGACTTTATTTAATTTAAAAACTTTAGTTACGTATTTAAAAAGGGAAAATATGAAAAAGAATTTTCAATTTACAGTCACCATGATAAAAATCTAACAAATTATAAAATTTTATTGTGTTTACAAGGTTTTTAAAATATTTTCTTTTTTTTTCTTTTAAGATTTCTTTGGCCTTCAACCTCATTATTACTAGGAAAACGTTCAAGCAACCTTGCACAACCCTTGTTTCCTTTCAAGTTTCTTAACAATAGGTTTTTTTTATTATTTCAACATTTATCGATATCTCTATTGTACTGTTTCTGCTACCTTTATTGAATGAAAACAGGTAAGATTTAGCATGAAGCACCTAAGCTTATAATAAAAAACTATAAATATTTCATTGTTAAATACAAAGAAGTAGAATCGTAAAACCTCAGGCTCAGTTTTAATATCTATAATTATTTTCGCAACATAATAATTCTACTTTACGATTCAATACGTAGTAGACTTAAAATGCGTAGTCGTGTTTATATTGTCTACAGCGAAATAGCACACCATTTTATATATTTTTATTAAAATTAGGATTTAAGATGCCTGTAACACATAGTCTCGGTTAAATTTTAGACTTTATAATACATAGGTACATATACACGGGTATTATAAATTAAAAAAATATATGCGGCGTAGGTATAGTAAACCGGTTGTTATTATTATTGTCATCTTATTATTCTTTGCTATTTTTTAATTTCCATTAAACCTAATCATTAAGCCACTAATCACTAAACAGCGTTAATTAATAAGGTTCTATATCATTCTGTCTAGACACTGACAAAATTAACATAGAACGTACCTTGGCCAACCACTTGCTGGCGTCAGGCACGTCAATATGCTTGCCAGATTCCGTCAGGTCCCTCACGATGTCCGGGAAGCAAGCCATGAACTCCCGGGACTGGTCTTTGGAGACGGCCAGTCCACGGGCTGCCAGTGGCATTTGCTGAGGAGTGAGGGTCGACAGGAATCTAAGAATAAAACATTTAGATTGACCCTTTTCTGCCGACACATGATAAAGAACCTACACATTTAATTATGAAATTCAAAATGAACCATTGGTTATTATTTATCTGAATAAACAACAACACGCTTTGATAATGTTTATTTTTACGGGGAGGGTACTTATATTTACGTATTAAATATTAAAAGCGCAATCGATATAGAAAAGGATAATAATACGAAAAATTAATTCAAAAAGATCGGGTCCTTTAACACACGATGCAAAAGTATAAAGATAATTAATTAATTAATTAAGAATCGAACAGTAAATTCGATGTACCGCAAGTATAATATTGATTTAGTTTTACCTTTAACTAAAAGTATTCTAATGGTGTAAATTACAACTTATACTAAATATATAGATTTAATGAATGTATACGCGTAATAAGACTTCTAGGGTTACGCAAACTAACACTCCGGTTAAGAGTTCACTGACCTGTGATATTTCTGCAACTTCAGCAATCTCTTAGGTCCTGTTTCCTCATTTGTTGATGGTTTCATCTTCTGTTGGTCGAGTCTCGGTGCCATAGAATCCGAGTTGGTTACGCTGGTAGTCTTGCTGATGTGCCGACATAATTCATTCTTATAAAATTGTAGAAATTTCTCTGCGCCCTTCTTGGTGGAAAACATTTTTGACTCAAAAATCCCTTGTGTGGGACCTTAAATCTTCTTATTTATTGTTCTATCGTGTACGATTGTATAAGCAATTGTTTATAATTTATTAAATCTTCAAACTTTAATTGATCAGAACTCAATTTTAGTATTAATCCAAGAAACCGTCTACTCACAACGACTGCTTGTGACTGACTGCTTCTTTGTTATGTTTTGCTGCTAGCCGCTTGCCACTCACAGTGGATTCACTCAAAATAAGCAATAGAGTTGCCTGCAATGTTTACACTAAATTATCGAAATCGATAACGTTATCAATGAACTGATTTTCTTTAATATAGGTTCTGTAAAATGCGTGAAGCATTATGTAAAGATAATATGCTAATATATCAGTATTGCATAAATATAATGCAATCTTCAATTACAAACATGATAATTATTTAAATTAAATATCAGGTTCATTTGGGGCTTATTCTCATACCTATGCCAATGCAACCAATGCAGTCGTATGGGGCCCCTGATTCAAGGAGGCCTTAACGGGCTAAAAATAATTCTTTTATGTCAAAACATATTTTCGGACACGGCCTACATAGAGTTTTAAAAAAAGGCAATAAAAAAGTGTCTTAAATTTCCGCATGTTATTTTTTACGAGGACAACGAGAAACGTGATCGTACTTACATGATGATGATGTTCTCCTAGCCGATTCCGGCTACGGCGGCCAATCTCATTGAGATTAGCCAACTGCGCAGGAGATATTATAGTGCTCAAGTATACGCGCAGACACAAGTGCACTCTCTATTTCTATCACTCTCATACTCCGGTGGGACGACCACTCGACACGACCGGTGAGAGTTAAGGCGCAGGACCGACGGCTTTTACGTGCTCTCCGAGGCACGGGGGTGAAACACCGCCAACTTCCCAACTCCGGGCTCTTACTGAGACTTACTATACAGGAAGACTCTATCTAAACTTGGCCCGACCCGGGACTCGAACCCAGGACCTCCGGGTGTGCAGCCGTACATGCTAGCCACTACACCACCAAGACAGTTTTACATATGTTCTATAAAACAATGAATGGTCCTCTATGCTCAGCTTTTTTAATAAACTAGCCGACTTCTCGTTCAATGCTTGGCAGTCCACATTCGTATCCGTAATAGACAAAGGCGGGCCTTTCTCTTTTTCGGATTGGGGCCCAAAAAGGCTACTTACGCTACTGTCCTCCAGGATATCGGCAATTATAAATTTCAACATTAGCCTTCAACAATTTTGATAATTTTTATTCATGAATCATTTGGCATGCTTTCAAAGTATAATATATTAATATATTGTATGAATATACAAAATATTTTATAAGGTATCGATATAAACAGTGAATGTGTACATGCGTGCGCAACAAAACAAACCGGCCGGCGCTCCCCTCTCCGCAGTGCCACGCGGGCGACGTCACGTAGGCACCCGGCCCGGCCATGCCAACACCCATCGTACCATGCAATAATGACCTAAAACATTAAAACCGGCTATCGCTTTCGCATCACATCCACGGTTATTTAGATTTGAAACGAATTTTACTATGACATATGATATATTTATTACTAAGCATTTAATTAAATAATATTAAACAAAAAACATTACTGTGACGAAGCTTTACAGAGCTTATTATAACACATTCAAAAGTATGAGTGATATTAAACCTCATGCTATTTTTGTTGTAATTAATTTTTATTAAGCCAATTGCATTTTAAGTAATGACGCAAAACGCTGAAAGATTAATATATAAATACATAAATAATGTAGGCAATTTTGGTTGCATTATGTTCATAGTAACTCTGACTCTACTTTAATGTGTTTGTAAAGGGCAGGTTTATTATGTAATATAATGTCAGCGAAAGTGATGATGAAAATTACAGTTATCTTCGATTGATGTATTTATCATACTCTGTATTAATATTGTAAGTAGGTAGGTAGATCTATTATTTTGATATTAGTTGACTCTACATTTTAGAGTTCAGTTGCAGTTAGTCAGCCAATATTATAAGACAGTCTTCTAAGTAATAGTCGTATGAATATTGTAATGTGTATGTATACGCAATACCGTCTTTACCATACGTGACGCGGGGCACGGGCCCTCACATGGAGGCCCCGAAAAAACAAAATATTCGTTTACATGGTATAGAGAGAAGTTCGATTTTTTACCTACGATTTATTACTACCAACATTATTTTTTTTATTAGTGTACTCGTAAATATAAATTGTTAATATTTTCATATTAATAAACATTTTACAAAGAAAATAAAAAAAATATCTATAGTAAAACTGCGTCCGTTTGGCTGAATAAAGATCTTAGTAAGCTGGGTGAGATTAAGAATAAATAAAACTATGCTATTTATAGACCCTTTATTACTACTTTAATTTTTACATAACGGCAAAATTTAATGTTATTTTTATCATAGTTTTACATAACCTCATAAAAACCGATAAATTAGAATGAATTTTTTCGAATGTGGAAGTTGTTGTAATAATATTGATTTCCTTAATGGTCACTATTACTTATACGGTCATTTTCGCAGCTAAAAAGAATAAGCAATTTAATATGAGTGACAATATTCCAAAACAATATTGCTTCTTTTATTGTCAACAGAATGGCTTTCCCAAGGAATGATATGGATACTGCGCTTTTCAGGCTCATTTACGATTACGATGCATAGGAGACATAGCAGTCGACATAGGGGTCTTTTAGCCCATTTGCCTTAAGCCTTTGAATTTGTTGATCATCAAATCTTCTTGCTTGAACTGAATCACAATAGTATACAGGGCGCTGCGTTTGATCTTGTTGCTCCCTATCTCAAAAGTATCCAGAGGGTTAAACAATGTGAATATTTTCTGGATCTCCTATAAGGATGGGTGTTTCACAAGCATCTTCTCTTAGTACTTTTTGTACTCTTAGTGTATATTAATGATTTATCTTTGTTAAGAAATGATATGATGATATTTCGTTAATTTTTAAAGTTAAACGTAATGAACCAAATTATGACGAAGTAATCAGAAACCAAATTATGACAGATTCTAAACTCCAGAGAAATCCTCACCTTTTGGAGTCTGGACACTAGCGAATAAACTCAGTTGCACCGCCATTGCAATAGGAAAAGTTAGTCGCCTAATGGACGGCCACACTGCATGACTTATATATTTTAGTTATTGTCATAGTATCTTATGTTACGGGATACTTCTTTGGGGCAGTGCCGTAGAAATGAATTTGAAATCGATATTTATTCTACAAAATAGGTATTATTTTATTCTCCCGAAAAGTGAATAAAACCTATGCGCAGTTGTGTATATAACGAATTTATAATAAAGTTCCACAAATAATCTTAGATTTATCTTTTCAACAATGTAATGTGTGGAATTAAGATAAATTAAATCATTTGAGGTATAGCTAGATATCATTTATTAAATACATTAATTTGATTTGTAAAAAGAGACTTGTTGAATTTATCCCGGCGATGTTCGACTCAGTACTCAGCAGAATTGCCTTCCGAGTCAAGGTAGCTTCCTCTAGGAACCACCACACTGACTATTGACAATTCGAAAGTGTTTGTTTGTGATAAATCTAATTCAATAAAGTTAATTTTCATTTCGTAATTCACATTTTATTAACGTTCTAAAAGGCCTCAAAGTTGGTGTGTTCCCAAGGGCCCATGCGTGGCTCAAGAGGGCCTTGTCACCCTGTGTAAGTATACGTTACGTGATATTAGCGAATTTAACATTATAATCTTAAAACTTTAAAATATGCAAACTGCATAAAAATGTCTCAGACATTAATGTTTATTATTTATCGTCGTTGATGTTGTATCATGATTGTTTATTTAATATTTATTGATGATTTCAAGTTAAGGAAGTAAATATTTTAAAATAAAAAAGGTAATAAAATAATACTTTCTTATATTTACACAAATATTTGAAATTTTAAATAAAACTATCTTTTCAGATTATTTCGCGAATTCGCGAATAACAGTAAGCTTTAGTTTTATCAATAAAAAAATCAATAAATCATGGTCGAAGTTTGACCCCTCGGCGTATTCTAGTGTAGATAGTTCTTCGTATCAGTCTAGACTTCAGGCTGACATACATATATATGTCTACGTGACTTGTTAAATTCGCTCACGTTAACTCGACGACATTGGCCTAATTATATTATGTAATAAGTTGACTGCCTTTTACGTTTTACTGCTTTCTTAGTTGACAACATAAGCTTTATAAAGCAGACGTAACTATTTCCAATACACTTTACCCATGAACGAATTAGAATTCGTTCATAACTTTACCGTACAGTTTACCGATAAAAGATTTAACCATTTTTATGTAGGTATTTAACTCAGACTAAACAATTACGTATTTAATTAAGACAGAGTCCACCAAAATAAATGTCAAAGTAAAAATAGCGTGATTTTGCTGTTTATTCCACTATTTTCAATTTTTCTATAGTTCATTTTTTTGAAGAACGAAGGAAATTTTATATATGTATTAGTAAAATTAGTATACAATTGAAAAATTTTAGAATAAAATATGAATATTAAAAATAATACTACATTCTTTTGTATTGGTAATTGGTTTTATTTAAACATTATGTAGTTCTCTTTGGTTATTGTAGCTTATTTAATTTTTTATTAATTTAATTATAATAAAATCCGTTAGCTATTTTTATTTATTAAAATTTATTTAGGTACTTATCACTCAATATACTTATTGTGCATAGATGTCTGGATGTCTGAATGTATAGATATATGAATGTTTGTTACTCATTCATGCAAAAACTACTGAATGGATTTTAAAGAAACTAACTACAATAATATATCTCATACATCAGACTAACACATAGGCTACTTTTTATCATGGAAAAATATACGGTTCCCTTGGGATAGATTTGTTTTTGTTTTAAGAAATAAATATTTTAAATAATTATCTGTAACTACATTTTCTATTTAAGTCGATAAAAATACATGTTCTTGTTTTTGGTTGACTG